TCGTGAATTTTTGTCCAAAAACAATTCTGTAACGATGCCCCGTATTCGCCAGATATGGCTCCATGTGACTTTTTCCTATTTTTTTAAATAAAGGACACATTGAAGGGCCGTCGTTTAACAAGCATGAAAGCGCTTCTCTGAAAGAGCTAAAAGTTATTCTAATGATCGAGTTTCAGAAGTGTTTGAGTATAGGAAGAAGCGCTGACACAAATACATGATATCTATTGGGGACCTTTTTGAAGGCGACAACAATAATGTAGACAGATATATGAATATTTTTTTCAAAAAACCAAAATTCCCGGGGTTTTCTGAGCATATCTTGTAGAGCAGTTACATACGTTAACAGTCTTCCAACGCTCGAAAAAGTACTGGAACTGGCAGTATATGAACAACTAGTTACATACTGTAATGAAAATAATTTGTTCATCGAAAATCAGTCTGGTTTCCGCAAGAATCACTAATGCGAAACAGCGTTACAACTAACAGTTACAGAGTGGAAAAAAAGTATTGATAGGAAAGAACATATTGTTGCTATATTTCTAGATTTCAATGCGCCCGATAGGTATCCCAACCCACGGGGATGAAGCTGCTTGCAGCACCCTCCTTTGCAAGGGAGTCAGCAGCTTCATTGCCTTCCGGGACAGTATGGCCAGACCAGAGACAATCTATCAAGTCTTCCTATCGAGGAGACTCGTTTTTGGCAACTTGCTACCAATTTAGACGTTGCTCGGCAGAAGCCAAGAGCTTTTAATGCCGCTTGACTGTCCGAAACTGCATAACTATAGATTGTATATTAGGATTCCTAAAAATAAAGTCTACTACTACAAAATAAAATTCTCTAAATCCCGAAATTTCAGTCGGAATTCAATGATGATAATTTTGTTAAATTGATTAATTTAAATTATATTTTATGGTTTTCATTTGGAGAATATCTTTCACGAGGACGTTGAAGAACCACAACATTACATTATACTTCATTTTTTTCAAAATTCCGAGTATGTTTCTTCATTATTGTATTATATTGTATTATATACGTCAGTGATGTCATAATATGAAATGAATCAATTATATTGAATATTTTTGTGAAGGCAGTTTGGAGCTCTCTCTACACTCAACTATTTTCAACTAATTCTTTAATTTAAATCTAGGACAATTGCCAATTCTAAATCAGTTGCTCCAAAAAGGAAATATCAATTTTGCTAACTTATAAATTACCGGCCAAAGTGCAATAAGGTTTGCCGATTCTTTATTTATAAATTGAATTATCCAATTACATAAAACAATAGAACATGACCTTCGGAATATCTCTTGTGAAAATGCGCATATATTAGTGTCATATGCTAGTTTGTTGAAAATTCATTCAAGAATGAATAGTCGTCGTCAATTGGAAATGTTGCAAGTTTGTTTACTCCATAATATTCACTAACGTTGTCAGCTATAGTTAGCGGAAGCTACTAGGTTCAAAAGGTTAACTATAAAATGAATCGTGACTATGTACGAGGTCTGTTCAAAAAATAAGTTGAATTTAAATTTTTCTCAAAAAATATTCATTTGTTCATCAATTTCTATTTCGTCCCCTTCAATGTAGTCCCACTCAGATGAAATACCTTTTTTTCCAATTCTCGAAGCACTTCCGATATGCAAATTTTGGTATGTCCTTGAGCTTTTTCAGCAATTCGGTTTCTATCTCATCAATCGTCGCAAAACACCATCCTTCTATGGGTGTCTTCAATTTTGAAGAGAAAAAATCGCAGGGAGGCAAATCTGGCGAATACGATGGCTGAGGTATGATGACAGTGTTGTTTTTTGCCAAAAAATAACGAACAAACAATGACCAGTGAGCAGGTGCATTATCGTCAGCAAATCCTTGACGTTTGTTCAAAAACTTGGCGTGCTTTTTTTTGGTCTTGGCTTTCTTGGTCTCTTACACCAGGAGATATATCCTTTATATTGGCAGGTGTAGGCCAAGATTCGCCGAACGCACACTCTCTTTGGCAACCTTGAGATGTCTCACGGTGGCCTCCGCGAAGGTTTTGCAAGGTACAGCGACATTACTGTCGTGTCCGGCGACCCCGTCCGTAAGGCCACATTGGCTTCCCGAACAGGGCCTTTCCATTCGTCATCCTTTCGATCATTCATGCCTCAGTTGGATTCTTCCAATTTCTCCGCACACAATTCAATAGCGTAAATTTCTGCTTGAAATATAGTCGCATAGGTCCTGAGTCTGCGACTGAAAACACCTGCACCAGAACCGGAAGGTATTTTTGATCCATCTGTGAACCAACAACTATCTGCTCTTAATATTTCCTTCTGCCTGAGGATCTAGTCCTCTCTACTCGAGAACAGTACAGGCAGTTCGTAGTTGACATTGGAAGCATAAAGTCAGAGGTCATTTCCAGACTGCTGTGACTTCCAGTGTCAACCAACAGTCTGTTGTGTCTGGCATCCGGGAGGGGAGTGACTATACAGGGTGAACGCCTGAACATGGCCCCCAATTCGAAAGGGCTGGCTTTCAATGTCCTCTATTGGGAGTGGACATATTCTGTTGAAGGATATCTTGACCATTCCAGTTGAAGTCCGAATGGTTACCACGCGGTTGATACCATCCTTGCCTGGATGCACTGCCTCGATTCTTCCAAGCTTCCATACCATGGGTGGTTGGTTCTCCTCTTTTATCAACACGATAGTTCCCGTCTCTAATTGTTGTTAAAACGTTTTGCATTTGACCATTTGCTGAACTTCGGAAATGAACTCTTTGCTCCATCTTTCCCAGAAATGCTGAGTGATTTGCTGCACTCTTTCATATGATGACAATTGGTTTTGTGGTACGGTTCTCAAATCTGCATCTGGTACCCCAATGAGTGATCTTCCGACTAAGAAGTGTGCCGGAGTAAGGGGTAAAGGATCTGATGGATGAGTGGACGAGAATTTACTGTTGCCTCGATTTGCGTTAATAATGAATAAAGTTCTTCGAAAGTAAGGTGAGCGTTTCCCATGACTCGTTTCATATGATATTTTATGGATTTTACACCGGCTTCCCACAGACCTCCAAAGTGCGGAGAGTATGGTGGAATGAATTTTCATTCAATACCTTCGATTGAGAATTTCGTGGGAGTGAATGAACTTACCCAACTCGGTTAGTTCAGAACTGGCAGAGACTGAATTCTTTCCGTTATCAGAAAGTATTCTTAGAGGTTTTCCTCTTCGCGCTACAAACCTGCGAAGGGCTTAAATAAATGAATCTTTCGTTAGGTCGGAAACTAACTCCAGATGTATTGCTTTCGTCACGCAACAAATAAATAGACTGACGTAGCATTTAGAATGTACCCAGCCTGCGAAATTTGAACATTCACCTCCTATAATTTTCATAGTAAAATATTGCAGATTTATGATTTTTCAACGTTGACATATTTCATGAAAAGAGTATTTTGAAATTTCCGCAACTTTAAAATCATTGTAGTAAATATCATTAGGTAGAAAAGTAAATGTATATTCATTAGCTATAATGGGCTTAATAAAATTCGATCTGATCTCACAGAAATAAAAAAATAGCAGGCTAAAATGATTATATCGTTAGCTTTAAATGCGTTTAATAAACAATTCTTTGTTATGATATAAATGTCTTGTCTTCTCTAGCGACTCTATAACTGAGCAGAAAATTTATTTTCTTTCTTGTGTCCAATACAAGAAAGAATCTTAGTTCTATCGCATGTTTGAGAATGAATAAAAATAATTAGTACAACACAAAAGCTAATTTCGTTTCTAGTTTTCACACTACGAAGTTATACAATTTACATAAATCGATACTAGAGCTGCTCCCTTTGCTTTTGTTATTCTCGTAATAATCAATACCTTAACATTCCACCTCACTGCATTTTTCCTTATCAATTCTCACTGACGGCATTATCATTTGACTTATTCATTATTGTTGATAATTTTTTAAAAACCATGTATATTTGCGGGCACAATAGTTAGGGTGCTTTTCCTCTATTTGATATTCTTTCACCATTTATCAATCAACAAGTACCTATTGTAGATCAGCACACAAATGTTTTTCCTGTGAACAACACAACAACTAAACTACAAATTGTGGTATCACATTCAATCCATTTGTGCCAATTTATCTCTCGTTATCTTAATTCAAATATTGATTTTTCATTTAATTCAGTGAAATCATTTAGCATTCGTAGAGAGTTACTGATAAGATTACTCAAGGTTTATTTGGAAAACTAGATTCCGATCAGTAGTTTGCTTCTATGAACTGAAAAAAAAAATTGATCTAAACCTTCAAAACGAATGTTTCGTCCATAATCAACCGCTTCATGCATATTGCTTATCAGCTCACAAAAATCATATAGCATGCAATGTGTTTATTCAAAATCATATTTTCAGTTATCTCAACTCATGTACTAACTTTCTTTTTTTTTGCGGTTATGAATGCTGATTTCTCAGAATATTTGTGTGTGAAATATCGATGAAAATATATTGATTTCTAAACGTCTTACGAAGTTGATTTATAGTTGGTGGAACCCTTTTCTTTTTTTGCCGGTTTTTACTAATCACATCTACACAGTTCCGATTTGGTCGTTTATGAACGTGGTTCAGCAGATCAGATTTAAGTATGCAACAATTTAGGGATGTGGTGCATTTATACATGGTTTGTAACAGTGTTGTGTTGATTATATTTTGATAGTTTTGTAAGATTATTGGCTACTTATTACCGGAGCTGCTAGAAGTATGCGGATACCGCACGAGATGTGGTAGAGTGTGCTGAGGAAGCTGCGGATATCTTGGACTGTCCACGGTACAATTACTATATTTTATTAAATTACCAAAAGAACCTCTTTTTGTTCAGAATAGAGATTGATAGACTTTGAAATTCAAGTTTTGTTCCTTTCTTCAGTTGCCGAACGTAATTATTTTTTATTATTTATTTCAAACTTCACCCATGAACTCCAATCCATTCGTCATCCTTTCGATCATTCATGCCTCATATATAGGTTCACCTCCAATACAATGATAAATACAAGAAAACAACATGCAAATACTATATTTATTAATATTATCTTACCAAGTATTATTCTACGTAGCATTATGGATGGATTTCAATAACTGTTTTTTAAAAATACTTAAAGATGGACTAGATTGAAATACATTTGGTAATTTATTGTATGCATCAATCCCTTTGAAAAATAAAGAATTCATGGTACTTCTCCTATTTGTTCTGCATGCAAATTTGTATGATTTCTTGTGGCATATTTGTGCACTTCTAAATTTAGACAGACGAATTCTGAAAAATATGAAGGTGATAAGTTATTCAGAAGTTCATATATAAATGTCACAGTTGAGTAATACAACCGTAAAGAAACTGGTAGCCACCGCTAAGTTTGTAATATGATTCCGATTTCAGTGAATCTATTCACTTTTAGAACAATTCGCAAATCGCGATTTTGAAGTTTTTGTAATTGAGGTGTTTAATTTAGATTAAATAAGAAAATAATAGAAGCACAGTAATCAAAATGTGGTTGGATAATCGCATTGTATTTTTTACTGAGTGGATAAATTACCAGAAATTCTTGCCAAATATAGTTTTTTAGATATTTTTTACATATATAATTGAGATGGTTGCCAAAAAGTTATAAATTATCTAACTGGAAGTCAAGATATTTGATACATTATACAATTTCAATGTTTTCATTATCGATTTGTAGATTTACTTCATTTAAATCAAGGTTGTTCCATTTATATTTTGTTGTCATTCCTTTAGTTTTCATTTTATTCAGTTTCAATTCATTTGCCATGAGGTACTCATTTACATCCTTTAATGCGACATTCATTTTATCAATAGCTTCATCTAAGCGTGTATCTTAGCATGCCAATAATATATCATCTGCAAATAAATTTACAAAATCAACATTTATAAACAAGTTTATGTCATTCAAGTATAAGATAAAAAGCAGTGGTCCTAAAACGCTACCCTGCGGCACACCTATATGTATATCCAATTCCTGTGAAATAGTATCTTGACTTTTTGCTTTCTATGCCATAACTTCTTAATTTTATTAGAAGAATATTACGGTCAATTATTTCAAAAGCCCTCTTCAAATCAAGGAAAACAGCTACTACAAATTTATTTTCATCAACTTCCTTTTTGAATTTAGATAAAATGAGTTATAATGCGGATTCACATGAATATTTTTACGAAATCCAGATTCATTATTAAATAAAAATTTCATTTTTTTCAACATGATCAAGTACGTGTTTAAGGAGTTAACAATTAGACGTAATTCAGTCATTGTTAATATGTGAAACTCAGAAAAATTAGGATATAGATTATAATTATTGAATTTCCAATCTTCAACATTATCTATACTATCAACAATTTGCTGAATACTAGTAAGGAAGTAGTAGTTAAATTCAATTACTATTTCAGTTTTATTGTTAACAATATACATCTGGTTTGTTCAGTTGAATTCTATACAGTTTGAAAAGTGTTGGCAAGATGGCCGTTATCAATTGTCAAAGTTTGGAAGTCCTTGATGGAAGACCTTATATATTTAGATGAAAACTATTAATGATCATACCATCTCCACATAGGTATCTTGATTTATTGAATCTGAAATTTCATTCAGAATGACTTGGCAAAAAAAATACCTCCTGCAGCTGCCGAATTGGAGGAACATAAATATGAGAAAGTGAAGATGATAAAGCACCCTCTTCAGAAAGAGGAATTTGATGAGTATTTTTCAGGTTTCAAACAGAGGTTATTAATTCAAGTGTGAACCATAGTGACGCCAAATAAGCAGTGCTCAAAAAAAAGAATGGATAGAAGAAGAAAAACCTTAGGTACAGAAACCAATTGGAAAAAAGAAATTAGTTTTATTTATGATACCAAAACTACCAATGAAAGTGAAATATTTGGAAGAAACTTCTTGTATTTGAAAATAACCCCCTCTGGATTTTTTCAAATGTTTTCTGGTGATGAATTAGTAACAAATACAACTGAGGAGTCTAATTTGCGCAATAGGATCGTATATGTACCGCTTATTCTTTTCGAAGTAGTAGATTAGAAAAGAGACATTGAGTCAAAATCATTGAATTTTTTGCTCAGAGATGATGAAACCTGGAGAGGGCTATTATTGTCCTGTTTCCAAAATTTATAATTGTTCAATTATATAGTACAAAATGTAGGCACTTGAGGCGATATATTCTCATAAATGAGGTTAGAAGTGATCGCTCTTTGAGGACCTTTGTGTGAATTTTGATTCCAAAATAAGGAACACACATGAAACATTTTTATCATTTCAAATAACTGATCTGGTGCTCAGATATCTCAAACAGTGAGATAAATTCCTCAAAACTGTTTTAACTTCAAAATATTCAAATTTGATAACAACATATTATTTGAACTCGACTTGTACTTGAATTAGAATACCTAATTCCTCCCAAACGCTAATGTAGGTATCTTATGAACATTCAGAAAACTACAACCATAAATGATCATCAATAATAATACTCCAGTAATGATGAATTATCAACAAAAATAGAAAAATTACTTCAAATTTATATCTTCTGATCAACAATTATAATAAAAAAATCCTTGAAAACCAGCGGGTACTGAATTTTGACAAATGAAAGGCCCTATCTGTGAGAATTTGGAACTAAGGGAAGTTACGATCCATTTGTTCACCAGATATCACATGAAGTAGGTTTTTTGGCGGGTTCACAAGATAAACATTTTCAGTTTCATATTATGAAGAAATTGAAGTTTTATTTGTAATATACTTAATGTACTGATTGAAGTCGAAATATTGGAAAACTGAGACATAAGCGTGTTCCCTATTCCATCCAATAACTTCTTGAGAGTACTTAAGTCCGTTTACTAGCGTAGAAGAAATGTCGAAAGCAACTTTGACGCGTTTCGATTTTCTGGAAAGCCTGATGATGAATGTATTTATTTTATCATTTATCAGAATTCCAGTCTTCTACTTGAGAGATATGCAACGAGAAAAGTCAAAACATCCTAAAATTGTCAAATATTAAAGCAAAACTTCATGACTGCCAGTTCAGGAATGGAACTGATTAAATGTCAAAGAGAGGGAGACCATCTAATATAGAAATAAATATTGAGCACTTTATATATTCTACCAAACGAAAGTTTTGAAATTTTAGAGTAGTAGCTTTTTGAGCAGTTCAGTATTTTTGTACGCTAGTACAGAACACTGAAAATTGTGGGGTTATAATTTCTCACATTACCAACATTCACATCCTTCTAGTTCCGTGGTTTTTTGCACAATGTTCATGCCCATTTGAAAGTTCAATCAAAAGACTGAATTAGTCGAATATTTATCGCATCTACTGTTCATAAATAGTACACCGTTACCTTCTTGTGTCTATAAATACGGATGTTTCTACGTTTTTGTGTCCGTGATACGGTTTTCGCACACCTCTTTGAACCCGTCGAGTATCTATAAATAATCCCGCTGCAATGCCTAAGATTCCTTACATTCCATTCACAGTGTTCATCCATTGAATTCGAGTTAATTCAAGAGAAAACTTTCATTTTTTCTTTCACTAACACATTCTAACTTTTCCATCACTTACTAATAATAACCCAAGTACGGTTGAGTATCTAATTCTAGTCGTTTCCAGTTTTAAGTGTGACCAAAATGAAGTTCCTACTCAGTCAGCGAATGGGTCTACCGTACCACTGGTGGATACCAGGAAACTTGATCCGGAGATTCCAGGATATGACCCCTTCGAACATAGAAAAGTGGACCACCCCACTTCGTAAGTATTTCCGAGTATATACAGTCCTTCACAAGAAATGTCTTCTAAAGAATATAAATACCATACCCAAGAGCGTCGACAGCTTATAACTAAGGGGGGGGCAATGGGGCAATATTATGGAGGATAAAAAATATGAACGCCTGGTACAGTCAAAAGCATGAAAGGTTACGTTTTGGAAGTCTTTGCCTCGATGACGATTGTAATAAGAACGGTTCTGATATCAATGTATAAAATTTCGCAAGCCCTCAACAGCACAATAACTGAATCAAACTTTTAAACACAGTAATAATTATTTATTTTAACAAAAATAATATTTAATTAAAACATGCGAAACTTTCAACCACTTTATCATTGAAATGATTTAGGTTTTCATTTATTATAGCTCTGTGTACACTCATCATGGCCAGACCATGAAGGCGATATTCTGCCATGGTGCTTCTTAGCCATGTTTTCAGTCTTCTGAGGCTGCTAAAGGATCGCTTTACTGCACAGATCGTGCATGGTAAAGCGATCAAAATTTTCAATGCTTTTTCCGTTTCGGGGAAGAAGGAATTTGTTTCTTTTAGGACATCAACAACTGTAAGATTTGTTAGATTAAGCCTATCGTGCCACAATTGCTGCCAAAGTTCGATTTAATTCTTTATGTTCGATAAATCATAAAACTGGGTGTAACTTAGATAATGCGAATGATAGCGTGTTTTCTTCAGTAAAACGTACTTCAAGGGAGGTGACAATTGAATCCAAGTATGGTATTACTAAAGACCTCTTCCAGTATTCTGAAGGGCTTTCTGCTGGATGATTGCTTCTATGACGTTGTAATACGCGGCATTGAGGTAATGTCCTGCTCCAGTCCGACTTTCTCCGCAACAGCAGTAGCTTCCTTTATAATTTCGTCTGTCACTTTTTCCGGATTTTCACGGTGGTTTTTAATTAGAAGTAAAATCCTTTTAACGTGTTTCGAAACTTTGACTATGTCCATAGCTACGAATTGGAGTACGTTGACAACGGGTTACATCAAAGCCGAGTATTTGGCTACCAACATAATCCCGAGAATGAAAGAAATTCTGGAAGTAGCCGCATGCAGTTGGAAGGCACTTTTCCGAGTCGCACTATTTCCTTCCTGAGATAATATTTGTAAGGCTTCCAGAACTCTGATGGTTTTGCTCGCACTTTGGTCGCGTTTCGGCTAGCTACATTTGATCTCTAGGGGGGGTGGCGACTGCCCCCCCTTGGCGACGCCCTTGACCATACCTTTACTAATTTCAATATGACAAAAATACAAATGAGAGTATTTTGTATTCGCAATCGTGGATTTTTGAACAACAAATCTAGAACATATGATTCATCACACAAAGGTTTTCTTATTTTCAAATATAACCAAATCATTTCGAAAAAAAAGGTTTATTTTGAAAAAAAAATTGAACTGGAACACGAATTCATTTAATCAATAACAAAATATTGCAATGAGTAAAAACAGTTGTAAGTGATAATTGATATATTGACAAGTCAGTCTTGTGCATCCCGGAAATTAACATTTTTTCTAATTTAACCAACTTTGTAGAACAACCATTTGAAAACTAAAAAGTACCGTACCCGAAAAAATTCTTTATAATCTCATGATCAATAACCAAGACTTGATTTATAAGAATATTGATTTCGAATCAATAAAATTGCCCTTGCTTATACACACACTAGGAAAACATACAAGTGTGAATATCTGAAGGATATCTTTTGTTCGAAAAGAGAATATCTATATTGTTGAGTTGTTAATTACATACTTTCACTTTGGACTGAATTGGTGTTGATCGATAAAAGAATAATAAATCTTTCTCACTAAAAACTTAAATTTGTGTATTCACGCCAAAACTTGTTTTAAAAAGGGTGGACAAATATTTTACATATAATAATAATAATATCTGGATGCCAGAGAGACGTATACTTATTTACTTACGTCTCACAAACTGCGACAAATATGGTCATCGGAACTGTCGGGAAAGCACCTCTGCTACGAATATGCTTGCCGTTTCAATCTTATTCGACGTAAGGCCCAAAAAATGATGCATCTCTATAGGAGTTTGCCTCCAAAATCGTCCGTTCCACGGTTATACTTTCCTCAAAAACAAGTAAGCCAAAGACCTTTGAGTTTGGAGTGCCTACATGACAGAATGGTACCTACTGGATGGAACCTGTAAAGTCATCAGGAGTTAGAATTCCTTCCTCTGCATGAGAGAGCGAAAATTGGAGCATTTCTCTTTAGGGCAGCTGTCCTAACGAACGATGAAATTGGCTTACCAATGCGCCTGAGACCCCAATGCACGTGATGTCAGCATGAATCTATTGTGAGGAACAAGACCTGCCGAATTAATTGGAATGTTTTGTTTCTCATTTTGTTCCCTCACGTTCATGTCAGTTAATAAGCCTAATGTGGTTCTTCTCAATCATCAGAGCAGGACGATATTTGTCGTGGAGTTTTCAGCTCCTCCCGAGACGAATATAGTAGGAAAAATTGATAAAATATCGAGATCTTCTCTTCGAACTAAATAGACTCTATCCGGGCCACTCTGTCAAGATGGTTGTTTTGCCGGCTTGCCGTATTTAGGCAGAAAGCTTAGCCGGACAAATGCAAAAAGCTGTCGTTCTTGGCCCACTGCGCTTGCTCAGGACACATGACTTTTGGTGATTGGTTGATGATGATGGGATAGGGGAATAGGGATAGAGCCCAACCAGCGCAACTTTTTGGAAATTCATAATAATAATGAATTAAATCACATATTGGTTGTTTGAAACACAATGAATCAGAGTTTTCGTTTACTCAGATACGATTAGATACATCTCCAATTGAATTTTGACCGTATGAACTAATTAGAGTATTTTTCTTTCCAGGGATATGGATACACTCATCCATCTTCTGAAGGGTAGTCTTGGGAGTGGCATCCTTGCTATGCCATTGGCTTTTTCTCATGCCGGGCTGTTCTTTGGCCTTTTCTGTACTTTTGCTATAGGTGCAATCTGCACCTATTGTGTACATATTCTGGTAAAAAGTTCCCACGAGTTATGTAGAAGAATGAAAGTACCATCTTTAGGTTTTGCTGAAATCGCAGAAGCAGCTTTTCTTGCCGGCCCGAAAGCATTCCATCCTTGGGCGAGATTTGCCAAGGCCATGATAAACATGTTTCTTGTTATAGATCTGCTGGGTTGTTGCTGTGTTTATATAGTATTCGTTTCGAAGAATCTCAAACAAGTAGTTGACAATTACGCACCTGAAGATTACCATTACGACCTGAGGATATATATGGCTGCAATGTTACCTCTATTGATACTAACTAATCTGATCAGGAACTTGAAATGGCTCTCGCCACTCTCTATGATTGCGAATTTATTAGTAGCTGTTGGTTTAGGTGTCACATATTACTATATTTTTACTGATTTGCCCGCCCTCGATACCAGAGCTCCCATAGCTAGTTTCTCAACCTTGCCAGGATTTTTCGGCACTGCCATATTCGCTTTGGAAGGAATTGGTGTAGTAATGCCTTTGGAAAATAATATGAAGACTCCCAACCACTTCATTGGGTGTCCTGGAGTTTTGAACACAGGAATGACATTTGTCGTTCTTCTCTATGCTATCACTGGATTCTTCGGATACCTCAAATATGGAGATGCAACGCACGTTGGTAGCATCACGCTGAATCTTCCCGAAGAACCGTAAGTATACTTTCAAATATTTTTTTATAATATGTTGTAGATTATACTTCAAACTATAGATCATAGTAAAATAGCAAAGTTGAAGTAAAACTTCAGTAAATCTTGAAAATGAAACAAAAATTACGAACTAAATTTTTAAATAATAACATTTAGCAACCATATAAAACTATACAGGATGTCTTTAAGTTGCAATTCAATTCATATTCCAACAACATTTTCATCTTATTTATTTGTGTTTTTTGCCTTAGTTAACCCACGACTTTTTAAAAAGAATTAAAATATTTGAATTCATACTGCTTCTCAATTTGTTCAGAAAAACTGCTCAAAGATACGTTCTATCGTTGGGGAAAAATTATAATCATAATCTTATTCAACAATATCATTTTTCTTCCACACAAAAAGTGTAACAGTGTCTCATAAGTACTGTGTTAACGAGGGTTTAAAATCTGTTTTTCCGTTAACCAGCAGTCGCACCCCTACGAACGACAACCCTCAGAATTCGAAACTTCTGCGAGCTAAGGATTAACGAGGTTTTACCTTTTGACGTGTGATTCCTAACACGGGTTGGACGATAGCAAGTGAAGATCGATCGTTCAGACTAGGGCTTGAACCACCGACCAACACGGCAGTCAATTCGAGTGAGTGAACAAAGCACCCACGCCGAACCGCTTGGCTACCGATCTTTTATATTTCGGGATTAGAGAACAAAAACAAATATTAATCATCGAAAATCAGTTTATTGTTTTTCAAAATATTCCCCATGAAGATCTATACACTTTTGCATGCGTTTGAACCAATTGTCGAAGCACTCTGATTGAGGTATCTCCAAAATATGCATTCTTAATGCAGCAACTGCTTCTTCAGCTGTCGAAAAACGTTGACCTCTCAGTTTGTTTTTTACATGCGGGAATAAAAATAAGTCATTCTGTGCCAAGTCAGGACTATACGGCGGATGACTCATCAAATCGATGTTTTGGGTGCACAAAAATGCAGTTGTTTGAGCCGATGTGTGAGAGCTCGCATTGTCGTGGTGAAGAGTGATCCGTCTTCGGCGGTTGGTTTTCCTGATTTCTTGGAAGACAACTGGCAAACAAATGGTTGTGTACCACTCAGAATTGACTGTTCTGCGTAGCTCCAGTGGCACGGTTGCGACATGTCCAGTTTTTCCGAAAAAACAGGCGACCATTTGCTTGGAAGTGCTTCGTGTGCGAACAACTTTTGTTGGAGTTGGCTTATCTTGAAACACCCATACAGTCGACTGCTGTTTACTTTCGGGCTCATACGCGAAAATCCACGATTCATCACCTATCACGATGTCATAGACGTGTTTCGAAGCACCGCGATCGTATTTTTTGAGCATTTTCTTCGACCAATCGATACGAGCTTTTTTTTGAGCGATTGACAAATTGTGTGGGATCCAACGCGAACAAATTTTTTTGACAGTCAAATGTTTATGCAATATTGAATGTATGCTGGTCCCACTAATGCCTAAGATTGTCTAAATCTCACGATAGGTCACATGACGATCTTGCAATATCAGTTCGCGCACAGCATCAGTGGTTTTTTCAATCAACTTTGCATTACATTCAATGCATAGAAATATCAAGTTTCTAACTTTCCACTAATCCATAACTATTTTTCTTTAATTTCAGACTTGCCCAATCAGTTAAACTCATGATCGCAGTAGCCATCTTCTTCACCTACGCCCTGCAGTTCTATGTGCCTATGGAAATCATCTGGAAGGCGGTAAAAAATAACTTTGAGAGAAAAACATTGGCAGAGTACAGCATCCGAATTTCTCTAGTAATTCTCACTGTTGTTTTGGCTATACTCATTCCTAATCTTGGAGGGTTCATCTCCTTGGTCGGAGCAGTATGTCTGTCTATGTTGGGTCTCATTTTTCCATCTATCATCGATTTAGTCACATTTTATGAAGACCCAGGTTTGGGCAGGTTCCAATGGCGGCTATGGAAAAATATGTTCCTTATATGCTTCGGTCTTTTAGGTTTCGTTACCGGGACATATGTCAGTATACAAGAAATCCTACAGGGTTGAATGAAATAATATAGATATCTCAGTGTTTCTATCGTCTGCTTTGCAGGGAGTCTGAGTAGAAACATTCACTGCCACAGGGTTTTCCACACCGGCTGGAACCCGGTTATTCTTTATTCGACTTGTTCAACACTCAGAAATAATTGTGGATCAGCTGAAAGTACGATTCAAAATCATCGAAAAATCAGCGAAGGAATATTTTAAAATCATTTCAACCAGTTGTGATCCTTCCAGAATATTCACTCAATTTTTGTTGATCAAGAACTCGACATTCATTTCAGAAAATTGGATGAGTGTCTAAAATCAGATTAAAGAATAACTGACTTGAATGAAAAACTTGAATATTCAAATTTCGATAAGCATATTTTTAAGATCAGTGCAGATAAGCTATTGAGGATTTGTGAGTTCCTGGGCTGGAACAAAAATTCCTGCTTCTTTGAAAAGAAGTAGAAACAACATTTAAAAAAACTAAAAACTAAAGGGACAAAGTTATTTAACTGGTAACATAAAATCAACTAATAATCAGTGATCCACTGATTTACAGTCAATGATTTTGCCCTCATCATATACAACCTAAATAAAAAAACAATAAACTCGTGAGTAATGTTCAACTGATCCATATTTCAACAATTAACAGATGTATATTCACATAAACTTCATCTGGCGTATATTTTAATAGTGTTTTACACCTTAGCACGACTCCCTGTCATTAAAATGTTACAAATCAACAGATATATAACAGCCACAAATGTCTTCCTATAAAAGAGGACAATTACAGCCAAATTACAAAAAATTCTGACGTTCCGATTTGTGACATGCTGGAACTAAAAATAAAACGTTTATCTAAACGTTGAATTATGACGTTAAGAAACGCTGTACTAAGTTATTAGAGAGTAGACTGCAGTTTCAACTGTGATTTTCAGACGATAACATTGTCTAAAATTATTTATCATTTACTTCGTAAGTATAGTGAGAAACTCATCAACCGTTTAACTATTTTTATTTATATGATTGTGATTTTTTAAGATTTATTTATTTTAAGCTCAAATTATAGTGTCTTCATGTCAGTGTTCATTTCTTGATAACACTTTTTTTCATAGCCACTATTGCCTACTTGAGTGTCATACCTGTAAATGTCATGTGAATCACAAAAATCTTAGAGAATATTTTCTCAACCGAATTTTGAAAAGTAATTGTAATATTTTTGATGATTGAACGAAATTAGTTGATTTTGTGATCATAATGATTAATTTCAGTAGCAGCAAATTTTTTCTCAAGAGCATAAACTTAATATCTTATAACTAAATAATTTTTCCAACTCTTGATGACAAGTTTGTCTGCTTTAGTTGAATTCAGCGATCTATTCTGTTTATCTGTACCTACATTCAAGATAAAACAAAATCTCGAAGTGAATAATAAGATCTAAACAGAATAGATTTATTCATTGATTTTGTAGCGAAAGAGTGAACAATTTTTCCTATTTTTTTTATTTCACCTATTTTACTTACAAAATATGCGTTATGCGCAAGAATGCTTGAAAAATTGTTTCACTGCTTTTGCCATAATTATATTTATTTTTCTTGAAAATATTTATTCTATCAAAATATTGCCGAATCCTTAAATCACAAATTTTATCAGGTATTCATTCGATTATTGATGCATCAAATATAATTTTCAAAGTGAAAGAAATGAATCGGTATTATTTTGACTCTAAAATGTACCCTTTATATTCCAGTAGAAGTTTTGAACGCTAACAAAAGTGAACACAGTAAGAAAATCAGTATTTATAGTTCCAAAGGAACTTGTGTGACTTGGTGCCTTATTACCCGAATCTGGATTTTTTCTTCCAGATGACGGAAGTTGAAAACAGGGTTTGGTTGTGAAAGGAGAACATTTCTTTTTGGATATATTCTCAAAACACACAGAACACAATATTTCATTTTGATAATTTTCATTACTTCATGCAAAAGTTTTGTTCCTGAGATTTCTTCTGTTTAATATTTATTTTTTCGGTTGAAATTTTTCAAATTCTATGTTTTCCTATGATCTGTGTGTTTACTAACATCGAATTGTGGGTGAAGTAAATAATATTTCAAGACAAATGTGCTGTAAAATCAACGCAACATGATTATGTAAAAAAATTTATCTCAGCTCTGAAAAACTGGCTGGCATCATTTTTGTCATGAGATATTAAGAAGTTGGAGGGTGATGTGGAATTCATGTGCCAAGCGTTTTTGATAAGTAGTTACTTTTACATTTCCTAGTATTGTTTAGTCTTTGTGCATGAATTTGATACCTAATTGGAATTGAGTCATTAGTTCCCAAAAATTTTTGTTTTACCGATATTGAATAAAAGAAAAAATTAATAAAAATCGTTGTTTTCCTCATTATCTTTCATTTACCTCTATCCCTTAGAAATCAAAGAACTAGAAAGCCAATATTATTTCCTATACCTACATGTATTCTACCGATAAGTTACCAACTCATTTATTGACAGATTATCTTCATAATATATTTTGAAAAAGTATTCAAGTAATAATAATAATAATATGCTTTATTATCATAAGACATTATTTTGTAGACAAAGCTTGTATAGTATATACAAAAAAAATGCAATACATACCAACTGAAATAAAAATATAAATGGTGCATGGGTACAAACTATGTTAAAATGGAGGATATAAAAGGTATGTATATATAAAAGAATAAAAGTCAAGTTTAAGAGTAGACATAAAAAGTAACAACTTAAGAGATCCTTAATGAATAAAGATAAAAAATATGCGTAAGTCAGTTAAAAGCTATCGTTAAAATATTCATCCAAAGTATAATAGGGTCTATCAGATAGAAATTGTTTGACTAACTTCCTGAATTGGAGGTCATTTATATTGATAGATCTTATGTCCATAGGCAAATGATTGTACATTTTTCCACCGTTGTAAAATATGGAGTCTCTGGTAATGTTGCCAATTGGCACAGTGAGTTTCAGAGTGTATCTGCAGTTTCGGGTGTTATAATGGGAAGAGGATGCAACAAAATTCAATATATGTTTATTTATTAAAGACACAAATTCCAGTATGAATAAATGCATTTACCGTTTGAATATTTTTGAAGAAGGTTCTACAGGAATCTCTTGGTTTAAGGTTTCCTATTTACCGTATTGCCTTTTTCTGTAAAATTAATAGACTTTTGAATAAAGTTGGACTGCATGCTCCCCAAAACGGTATTCCGTAGCGTAAGTGAGAATCAATGAGTGCATAGTACGCCATCTTTGCAGTGCTGAACCCCAATTCTTTATAAATAACTCTAACCGCATAACAGCCAGAGGATACTCCTAGAAATTAAGTGTTATTTTAGATTCCAGTGATCTNAGTCAAAGTGTGGCCTTATTATGCAGTTGTAACATGTTAGTCTAGCAAAGGTTTATAAAGATTTTGAAATTCTAGAGAAAAAATACATTTTCTCACATATCTTTCTAATGGGGGTGGTGGAAAAATGAATGAAAAATAAAATGGTGTACTGGACCACATGTCCAAGACTTATGTAAACGTGAAATTTAATAATAAACGCTGCTTCCTATTATTCATTATTTTACTGAATGAACCACAACCACGAAGCATTTCAATTAGGATAGAACCCACAGAAACGTGATAGAATAGAAAAATGTAGGTTTCAATGAGTCCTTGAACATCGTTGACGTCGTCATAATAGGGATTGCCATCCTTCATATCATATTTTGAAAATATTTCAACAAAAGGAACAGCAATAGGAAATAGTTTCAGAAATAGCGAAAGGGTTGCGAAGAAACACAGTCCCAAGTAAAAATTTGAATGCTTGAGATTCATCTGGGTCTCTTGGCGGTTATATAGAGATTTATTAGTTACTTGACTGATTTATGCCAGTCACATTAAGAAGACTTGAGGTAAGATTTTACGTAACTTTTGAGTGCTGAACAGTACAACAATTCAGCATATTTGTTCCTACGATTCCTCGACAAAACTTGCTGGTCCTGAAATAGACATTTGAGATTGTTTGGATCAGGTTGCACAGAAACTCTGGTGTTCTTACCAAGTCACTTTTGTTTTTCAAAAACTCTGATAGATGGTGCAAGAAACAAAATCTGTCGAGCGTATTTTATTCAGATCTTCAATTTATGAACCAAAATGTAAAAAAATCTTTCACCCAAGGTCAATTTATTTCTAAATGTAGGTAAACAACAATGAAAATTGAAATGCCGATTTGACATTATTAGGCTGCATAACTAAAGTTGTTCTCAGCACATCAGTGAATGGAAAGCTGAAATTTATTGGATCTCTTTATCATTTTTTATCAAGAGCGCCGTAGGTCGTCGAGAGTTTTTGCCAATATATTTTACATGGGGAAGGGGTCGAAGTAATGACATCAGGGAAATTCTATGCTTCTTGGTTCAGATTATTTATGGTTTCAAGGTGGACTAGAAACTATGGTTCTGAAAGAGTTCAAAATCATATCACGAAATCATATACGGGTAAACTCAAACGTATAATTCTCCTATGAATACTATCTATAAGTACCTAGTTTGGTTTAATGAGTTACTATTCTATTGAATTTTTGGGCTATCATGTTGATGAAAACCATATCGAACCTACAAGATGAGGTTGAAGCCATACTTAATTATGACAAAACAACAAATTTGAAATCATCGAGAAGAATTTTAAGAATATTCAATTTTTACCGAAAGGCTGCAGAAGTACAAACTCCCTTGAACTAATTCTAAAAAGAATCCTTATTGTAATAAAAAAACGATTGTGGGATATACTCGACAAGAAACTACATTCAAAAGTTGAATGTACTGCTGTTGCTTTTTTATCTATTCTTCTTCATCTTCTTTGGCATTGATGCATTTCTTGAATCCATATTTTATTATTAGAATTGCACAATAAACTATGTGTTTTAGTGATGATGCTGACTTGTTTTATGTTTTAGTTCTGTAATTAAACCACTATTTCCGGTCTATGGAGTAAACCAGTTATAAGGTCTAGGTCTATGCATAGTCCGCACATGACTTTCCCAAATATTCCTTATATTTCCAGTGAACTGGATTTTTGCAACGTTTGAATTAATTGAGAGCCTTAATGTGTATCTAATGAAACATAAATGAAATAAAGCACATTGCATCTTTTCAGCTGGTATTTGCTTTTATATTGTATCTGTTTAAAAAAATTATGTTTTTCCGGTAATCAGCTGTCGCCCCCATAAGAGCGACAACTCTCAGCAGTTGAGAAACTTGTGCGAGCTAAGGATTAACGAGGTCTTACCTTTGAACATGTGATTCCTAATACGGTTGCAGAATCATCTCAGTTTCAACCAGATAAACATGATAAATTGTATTTTACCAAGATTATCCGCCTTTCATTGATAGATATCAGAAAAAAAACAAAATAATTTTCACATATCTGAAAACCAGTGGAAACTATAAGAATACAGAAAAATGCTCCAATAAAACATTCAAAACACAAATATTTCAATTCATAAGTCAATGAGTTTGACTGGCCTTTAGAAAAAGAAAATTAATTGTCGCATTATTGAAAAAGGATGGAATGGATGAAGTCATTTTTTATCTCATCTTTCAGTCTTTTTTTCTGTTTAGTCCGCAAGGTATCTAACAGCAAATTGTCTGGAAGGCCGGTCCAATAGTTATTATGTCAATGGTGCATGTCTATGAAAAAATAACCTTCTTTTAGCGAGAGCAAGTCACAGATTCTGTGACTAAGGGCCAAAAAAATGTAGAAGAAGAATAACCTTTTTTTATAAATAAACTGAAGTGATAAGTGATTTGTTTTGTATAATTATTATTGTATTTATTCTTGTAGGTGGCGATTATTGATAGTGCCAAAAACATGAGAAGAGAAAATATATAAATGATATTGTTGAGATTGCAATGGATTTAGTATCTTCCTTCAAATATTTATCAGTTAATAAGGAATCTTCCCAAGTAAAAAGCTTTGCTGCTGTAATCTGTGGAAATCATACAGAATTCTTTCTCACTCATTTCCCAAATTGCATAAATTTGGTAATTACACAGTTGGGAAAAATTGGAAATCTATATGAAGTTAAAGTGGATCAACCAGAAAATGGCTTAAGTATCTCTGAACCTACTTATAGTATCACAACTTTACTGGGAGCAGAAAATATTGATGCTGAAGTTGCTGTAAGATACCTCACAGAGAAATTGGGAATCAGGAAACATTTAATACTGTGTTTGAGTCTAAAGGATTACACTAGAAATTCTGTTGATAAAATTGTTGAGGCCATTCAGAAGTATCCCACTCATTAAAATTTTACTTAATAATGGCTTTGTTGAAGAAAATAAAGAAAGCAGAAAGTTACTTTGGACAGGTCGTAATTGGACCGCCAGGTTCTGGAAAAACAACTTATTGCGGAAAAGTCTATAAATTCTATAAAAACAAACTTAACCGAAAAGTAGAGGTTGTGAATTTGGACCCTGCTAACGATAATATGAAATACAGTCCAAAAATAGATATAATGCAGCTTATAACTGTTGAAGATGTTATGAAGAATCTGAATTTGGGACCCAACGGTGCTTTAATGTACTGCATGGAATACTTGGAGGAAAATTTTGATTGGCTCCTGAACCAACTGGTTCAGGTAAAGGATAGTTACCTAATTTTTGACATGCCAGGACAAGTTGAACTATACAGTCATCATAACTCAATTAAAAACATTTTTCAAAAGTTAGAGAAGCTGAGTTATCATCTATGTGCAGTTCATTTTGTGGATTCACATTATTGTTCTGACCCTCCTAAGTTCATTTCCACTTTGCTACTTTCGCTAGCCACAATGATGCACGTTGGATTGCCTCACGTCAATGTATTGAGTAAGGTAAGTCAAAGAGAAAGGTTTTGAGTGAGAGTGGTTTTTGAGGTTTCATTTCTTAGTTCTAGTCCAATTCCCTTATTCTTGAATTATTTTCAAATATGAATATTGATTATTCTCGTCAATGCATGAAAACTATGGAAATGTTGAAGGCTGAAAAGTTTTTGCAGAATTTTTCAGGTGACTCAATGTACTCAGGGGCAAACCAATTGAAGGTCTTGAATTTTCGTAAATTTCGTAACGCGAACCTGGATTTGCTGAATTTTTGGATAGCGGCTCAGGCTGTGTACTAGTACGCGTACGCAGATAGTGACGAAATACAGTCCTCATAGGTCATTTTTCCATAAGGTAAATACAGAGTTTCCGCTGTGATTCTGCTTAAAAAATTTTTGAAAGTTTCCAAAAATGGCGGAGAGGACTGTAATTCGTCACTATCTACGTACAAGTAGGTACGGATACATTATATACTAGATATGTTTAACATATTGAAATGAGCATACATTAGTGTTCGTGATGTGCACTGTCAACATCAATGTTATAGTTTATGTTATACAATAAGCTCTGATGATCAAGATACATGCAAGAACTTTGTGCACTGTGATGTTTTTGTAAAGCTAAAAAGCTTATTGGCCGTGATATTGTCTCTTCTTTGAGTGTGTACTTTATTTCACCATTTCTAGATCTTCAGATCAAATGAACTTACAAGAATTAGTAGCAGATTTCAATCATGTAATGTATTTTTTTTCTTTAGGCTGACATATTGAAGAAGAATGCTTCCAAACTAGACTTTGGTTTAGATTTTTACACAGATGTACTTGATTTAGATTATTTACTGGAATTACTTGATGAAGGACCTTTCACCAAGAAATTCAAGAAGTTGAATGCAGCCATGGTTGGATTAGTGCAAGATTATAGTCTAGTGGCTTTCATCCCGCTAGATGTCAAATCTGACAAAAGTTTGTTAGAGCTGAAAAATGCGATTGATAAGGTTAGTCACTTCAAAAACAATACCATATTATGACAATGTAATCCCTGGCAAGTAACTTTTGGAGTCTCTTAAAAAAATATTTTGGATGGGCTACATATTCATCAATATTTAAAGTTTCCTATTCTTTTTATTTTAATGGCGAAGTAAAAAGACAAAAAATATTTTCATTTCAAACATCAGTCACTCACAATTTTGTAACTGAAAATAAAGATGATCTGTTTGACATCACACAAAAGTGACATCAAGTAAATAATGATAAAACAATCTATCTAACTTATTTTCTATAATAATTACTTCGTTAAATATTGAATAACATTACCAGAGTTTACTTTTGATTTTAGTAACTTTAAATTTCCAACTTGCTCCTAATTTAAACCACGTTTATGAAAAATGAAGTGATCATAACCAAGCTCTTTGATTTCACTTTCTTAATTTCAATTACAAGCTGTTTGGAAATGATGATACCAATATTCAAAATAAAACCGGCACAGTAAAATTTCATAATTTTAAAGCAAAATTTTTCTTAATTTCACATAATAATTTTTTGACATTTGAACATCTACCTTTAGTGCTTTGTAATTTCAGTGGCATAGTCAAATTTTTGAATATCCACTTTTGATTTCTCCTTCAGGTTACACCTTCATATCAGATTCAAAATTAAAAATTGTTCTGAATTCAAGGCAAGATAGATTTATTGTCCTGATACAACTCCTATTGGACATATCAGAACTACGACAGAAGGTGAAACAAATCCTATTAGTTGTTTTCACAAATTGTGGTTTCTTGTGCTTCCGGTTAGCGAAAGTGATTTATTTTATCTTTTCATCAGTTTGTGATGTGTTTGATAATTTTATCAAAATCATTTTCTCACAAATAGCTCATGCTGTAGTGTTTGAAAAATTGTTAATTTATTGCTATTAATATCATATCCAATATAATCACTTATGACTTTGTCAACAAGACATTCTACATTGTTTGCAACATTACTAAATACGAATATGATACGTAAGTGTTTATCATATAATTAGTTTGATAATTATTTTCTAGGCTAATGGATACATTTATGGCAGCGGAGAAGAAAGAAGTATACAAGCATTACTGTCATGTGCTGTGGGAGCTAGAACAGAATCAGAAAGATTTGATGCTGATTACATGTGACTGCATGTTTTTATGGGACAATAAATAAAATCATTTGGTGATAGACATTTGACTTATTTTTTCCCTTGTGAAAAAGTTGTTATATAGAGATCATAATTGATTTAACCTTACGGAATGTAATATCGACATGAATTAGTTTTTAAAATCCAGTTTCGTATTGAATCTACAAATGTTTGTACAGTATAACTTGGTTTAATATTTTAATTCTAATGAATATGTATTAGTTTTGGCCCTTTCCTGAACATAACAATATGTGACGTGGCTTATCATTAAAATGAGCACTTTTTAGAGCTAAAAGTGAAGGAAAAACTTTCGGTTGTGAATTTCTCAACCCATTCACTACTGATGAATTTTGGCATACTTTATCTGGTAGTTAACTTACCAAATTATTGGTATAAACGGTCCAAAAATGTTTTTTGAATGAAATTTTGAAAAAATTAAAAAACATGACGCTCAAAAGTGTCATGCAAACTGGGCATGGGAATACTCATGACTTTCTTGGGCGTTATTTGATTAGAAAATTTTATTTCTCACACAAATCAAAGTAATAAAGGTTATGTAAGAAAATTATAAATTATACATAAAAGTCGAACAATAAGATGAGTTATACAGTCTTGTGATACTCTAAAAACATATCGGTCGCACATAAGATGAAAACCATGATTAGGCATCCGTGAGTTTCCACTAAATTTTTCAAAATAGATTCTATGAATTTATCTTTGAAATTGATAACATGATAGCATTTGGTCCGTTTTATCTACACTGTCCATATTCTTATTATACTGAATAGGAAGGGGTTTCTGTAGAATTTGTTGTTATCTGTATTCATACTTGGTCATGGTATTTTCAAATTCAGTAGAAATATGAAGTTTGTGAAGATCACCCTTGCCTTTCCAATAAACTGTTTTTGGTACACATTTGAAAATGTCACTATAGGACGAAACTGCAGTAATGTTAGTTACAAATACAAGTGGCAAAAAACAGAAAGTTCTATTTTTCATTATATGAATGACGTTTGAAGATGTCATGCGCAGTGTACTGTTAGCTGTACGATACCTTCAGACTTCATATGCAGCAAATGGGTTGAAAAACAGTATAGTTATTAAAGGAAATACTGGGTATAGAAAGGGCACTGTTGACCTAGATTCAAAGCTTCTTGTGTTGTTAACTTTGAATTTAGGTTTTTTCGCAAACTGTTCATTGAAAAATCCTGAGATATAAAAATGTAGGTAGCCTAAAAAATAATATACAGGGTGGGACATGTTAAAAGGCAAGATTGGAAGCTGAAACAATTTTTTCAGTATAAATGAATACAACAGAAACACATACAAATCAAATTAAACTAGCTTTTAATGTACATAGTCAAATAAATTTATCCCTGTTTCGTGTGGCTAATATAGTTTATTAAGTTCCATATTACCTAAACTACATTGAGATATAAAAGTAACTTCACTTTGATGGAGGTTTGGCCTTTTGTTTCTCGAGTTGTGCTCTGAAAAAAAAAATTATATTGAGAAACATTTCTCAGAAAATTATAGTTTGTTCAAATTTTCTTGAGTTAATGTAAATGAAAACCTCTAAAAAAATATTTACCATAAGTGTTACATTTTAACGGAGAATACTGTTGTTTTTCATCTTAGTTAAAGGTGAAGTTTCAAAGGAAAATTAACAGATTATAAATTTGGTGCCATTTTTTATTTAGTTGCAAATAATACCATTCAACTTTAATAAATACATCCTAAATAAAAGAATTCAAATTAAATAACGACCATTAATATACACATATTGAAGAATGAATAGATATAAAAATCTATAGGTCATTTTTTAAAAGTCATGAATTAATTTATCTGTAATTAGTAATTAGTTCAGACAGGGAATGTAGTCTAATGTAGTCTAAAATTACTGAACAAAAATCAAACATAGAGGATATGTATAATGAAACAGAATATAAACACTTATAGATGATCTAATAAAACAAATAAATACCCTGAAAATGATTACCAAAGTGAATGAAAAATATTAAGCACAAACATCACTGAACAAAGAGATACTGATTTGAACACAAAGAAATCTTGAAATTGAAAGGAGAAAATATTTTACAATCAAACAATAATCAAATCAACAACATTTCAAAATTGGAGAATGATTTCTCAGAGCTGAATATATAAAGAAATATGCTCATTGGTATCCATTGACACAGGAGAAAATATAAGACTGATAGCATGCATGCACCAAACTGAAATATTTACAGCTTCCATTAACCATATAAATTTCAAAACGAATGTTTCAAACTTATATCTATTATGATTGGAAAAATAGATGAAGTTTGAAAGATAAAATTGATATTACCTCAGTTGTTTATTGAAATCATCTTCAACATTGTCATCCTCCCAGTTATCTTCCCATACACTAATGTCTTGATCGTCCTTTTCCTTCCCTGTCCAGTCTACAAAAAACATTTTAGCAAAATCATTCAGACATAACCATAAAATGTAACCAACCTTCTACAGGAAATTCTTCAAATTCATCATCTTCCTCCAGGACGCCAAGATCTAATTTTGGTTTTTCTGACATTTCAATTTTGCCTTAACAATATGATTATTCAAGAACCACCAATAATCTTTCAATTTATAACCAAAGATAATGAATTTTTAGAATTCACTTTTTTCTATTTATGTTTGATGTTTCTGTCTATTGTCTGTGGCAACGTGCAATGAGGTTCTATCACAAAACTATTGTGGGTTCTATGCTATATATCTGTTCGTTTGTATTGAACAGATGACAGATGACAAATAATAACCGACAAGAACTCAGAGTCACAAATGTGAAAATAAATGAAGTAGAATATAATAAGAATGACTTTTAGATGACAAATTAAACCATAAAACTCAAAAAAAGATAATAAAAACCAATTTTGGCGTCTAATTATTTCAACTCATTTGCAATAATTCCGTCAATTATAGAAATAACTTTAAAACCTTAGATCAATGAAAAATACTAAGTTACTAAGGTTTACTAGGACTGCAACATATAACAATCCTTCATTGTCAAGTTTGTTGACCAGAAGGATAAGACGAAGAGATGAGTTCTTTATGGAGGGCTTTAGACATTTTAATTCATTAATTTTTGGGTGCGTTACCAATAAAAGGGTGTATTTTCAATAAACTACTATAATTATTTCATTTCAATCGATTTGATAAGTAATATTTTATAACTAATGAAAAGTTAAATATAACAATGTTATATACTTTTTGACCAAATGTAAAATGAAACAAAATGTATATCACAATTTTTTGTTCTACTGTTTGATGAATCCTGTCATTACTGTCAATGAAAGAGTTTTAACATTCAAGTGATTTTCTGCAAGTTGCAAGTAAATTAATGTTGGAAATAACTTTTTTATATATGTAATAATTACTATAGGGAAAGTATAAGCTGCAGACCCCAAAAATTAATATTTCCCAGTCATTCAGCGAAAGCGCCCACACCGTAGTTCCAGATACACTCTCATGCCGATCTATATCTTATAGAATATTTTTGTTTTGAAGTTGTTTTGAAGTGATATCATACTTTTTGTAAAAAATAAGTTTCTAATGCTTGTGAGTTAGGTGGTCGTGACTTATCTGTAATTCCGCTAATTATTTTAGCGTGGTAACCAAAGTCATTTTTAAAATAAAATACCAGCTACTTACTCCATTATTCTTCTTCATTCATTTATTTTCCATTCTGTATATTTTGACCCATATCACATACTATATTCGTAGATAAATAACTCGAGAGTATTTGTTACTCTGAGATAAATAACGAACGCTTCCGAAAGTTCCAAATTCAAGCATTGTTTTCACTTTTATAGTCTTGATCATTAGAAAGATGTCAGCTAACAGGAATTCATCAGAATCATCGGCTTCGGTTTTAATGTAACAGATAGAATTCATCGATGTCAAATGGAACAATTTAAGGAAATATATCGGAATAGTTCGATTATATTTCGATTAAATCGTTGGATTAACGGGTGAAAAAAGAAACACACATATCGGTGTTGCCAGAGCTAGCAAATTATTGCTAGATCTAGCGAATTCTATAAACTTTTGGTTATTTTGGGAAAATACCGCAAATTTGGCAATTTTGAATCTCTCTTGTGAGGTGGCTTGAGTCAGAAATTGAGGGGGTTTAACATGTCTTATCAGGATGGTGTCTTCAACACCATGCTCGACCGACCGTAGGCTTACTAAGAACGCCTAGGACCTTCATTCTTTGCTGTCGGCATGTTCAGCATATGCGGTCTCAGCCTATATTCATCGATATAACGCGGCATTACGAATGTTATATTACAATCTTCGGCACTATTACGGTATTGTCAAGACACCGGTATTGCTTTACGCTCCGTGGATATTGAATCCGTTGTGGGAAATAAAAAGTGGCGAATTTGTTGGAACTTTTCATTCTCCTACATCAGGCTCATACAAGCGAATACTCCTGTTGCAGTCTATCTCGACCATCAAAATGAGACTATATTCGTGATGGACTTTTCGATTTCGGGTATCGTCCGAAAACAGGAATGAATTTGAATTCGATGGTTGTTATGATAATTGATGCCATCGTCTACTTTCGAATTTCAAGATATTACCAGCTTGTCGCATTGATGTAGAAATCTTGAATCTCCTGTAGCTTTGCTTTGCAACAAACCGCCTTGGAGAGCCTCATTTATTTTTGATATTCGTGGACTGGGGTTTTTTAAAGACAAAACACAAGCACTACAGAAAAATAATTCTGGCGCTCTAAGATCGGTGCCTGTGCGAAAGTAGCGATTCACATTGATTCAATCCATTTGGAAAAACGTTCTCAGGAGTTTATCCCACATAAACGCAGTTCCCCAAATGAAAGAGGTCTTGAACAGTGGAGTTCGAGGTGTACTGAGTTGAACCTCAAAACAAAGAGCATCCACAGTCCGTCGCGTATATGTACCGCCAAATCACTTGGACACTTGCCTTGAAAGTATCTGAGCTTTATAAAGCAACAAAAGTTGCCGAGGTGTGAAGTTTTTTGGTTCAGAACAGTGTTCCAAGTTTTCAAGAAGCAGCCTTTGCAATTCCAGCGACATGATTGTGCAAAGATATATTGGTGTCCATTTCAACTCCCAATAAACTTACCGAAGCAGAAAGCGGAATTGTCTGTCCTGACATTATGATATCCAGTTCAGGATGCCAGATAGTGTTGAAAATATGCCATTTCTTTATGGAGCAGAACTTTTCATTACAAAACATTAGGAGAATAATATTCAAAATTCCAATGATGGATTATACCACAGTTGGATTTTTGAACTGAGCTCAACCTGATCTGTTCGTCTTAAGAGCAATACGAATATAATCCTAAACTGTTGAATTTGAAAAAATAAAACCCTATACTTTTTTTATATTATACAGGCAGCATTTATTTATGTACTATTTTGGTATAAAACTTTTTGTATTTCAGAAAATATAGAATATATCAATCAAAAAACGGGACCATAAATAATATGAAAAATTCTATATACTGTAAAGTCAAATCTGGAAAACATCTCAAATTTTACCTTTTTTGTGTATTTTGAGAAATCACAGTAACACATTTTTATTACGCCTGATTTCTGTTGACATAAGGTCTGTGACCCAAAAATATATAACAAATATAAATACTCTGAAATTGTCACTGAATTGTAGTTTGAAAGTATCTCAAACCATGGAGACAGATTCTGCACAAATCAGTCGTATTGTGAATTTAACAAAATAAATAAAAATGGTCACTTCAAAATATGGCCTCAGTTTTAAACAAATAACCAAACAATTTTAAAACAATAAAGTTTTATCAAAAGCTGTCATATGTCAATCTAACTTACTTGTTCGAAAAATTATGTGCAATTTTTTCTATATACTAGTCTCACTCATTTGTTTCTTATCTCTTAGTCTTGTGTAAATATAATATTTTAACATTAAACTTTAAAGCACCTCAGAATATTTCAGCAAATAAAAATAATTTATTATGGAACACAAGTTATGTCCATCATATTTACACGTTTGTTGAACTTCGTGATTGTGGCGTTGAACTTTTTGTTGATGAATGTCTGGAATTAGATCGTGATCTTTGAGAAGATGTTGTAGACAATGGTCTCTTTGCTCTTTCTATTCTTCTTTGTCTATCTAAAGCTATCACTGACATTTGTTCTGGCACAGAAAGAGAAAAAAAGATGTCGTGAAAGGCATAGCAGGCAGCAGAGACCTGAAATAAAAAAACGAAAATGAAATGAAAATACCAGTGTATAATTGTCGAATTCTAATCAGACGTTTCGGCAAAACTAGAAAAAATAAAATTTTCAATTTCGTAACATTGGTTACAGAAAAATCGTATTAATCTAAAAATTATCGCTACTAACTAATGGAAAATCTATTTCATATGATTTCCATATTTTTCTGTTCAAAATCTGTTTTTCCGTTAACCAGCTGTCGCACCCCTACGAACGACAACCCTCAGAAGTCGAAACTTGTGCGAGCTAAGTATTAACGAGGTTTTACCTTTTAACGTGTGATTCCTAACATGTATTGACCGATCCATGCTTGGAACTGCTCTTTGAAATGTAAGATCTCGTTAATCCTTAGCTTGCATAGTTTTGTAATAACAGTTCACAACCAAATGCAAATTATTTACTCATTCACCAAATAAGATTGGTGAAACAAGAAATATAAAAAGTTGACATGTTCAACAATATAGAGAATCATTTAAATGCCTCAAATAGAATAATAGTTCAGTGAAGTACAAAAAATGTCTCTGTACTCTGTACTGAATCAGCGTTTTTGAGATATTGCCAGTTCAAATGTTATATAAATCGAATTTTTTATAAAAAGCATCATATGATCTATTGTATGTAAGTTTTATCAAATAATATTATATCAAATAAAATATGATACTATGAATGAATTATTCATCAGCAAAATTTGAATATCACTCGTTTTTTTCTGTTTCTTCTTCTTTTTCTGCTAGATATGTATAATTGTTTCTAAACACTAGGCACATCAGTTGTTTTGTCATTGATACCATAAGAATCCCAATATATTTTATTTGATCCAATATTAGAGCAACAATGGACTTGGCAATTAATGTGTGTGAACAAAATAACAACACTTTTTTGATATAAAAAAAACTTTTTGTTTCAACTTTCGATAGCTTCGAAAATTGAATAATACATTTATTGATTTTGATATTACAACATAGTAATGATTTTTGATGCTGCTGCTAGTTATTTATCCTGAAATAAATATGACTAAATATCACTTGTAAGTTCTCAAAGTTTTTTTAATTGATATTATATTTTCAAAATATTCAGTGATATAATGACCAATTGCAAAAAACCTTCATAAAATTTATATGTTCCATTTAAATAGCATATTATTTGATTTCAATGAAAACTATTGTTTTGTTGTTAATTTTCTAAGTTTTCTCATTGAGAGAAGCTGGGTTGAAGTTTGAATTGTCTCTGAAATATTATCAATTTTCAACCCAGCCTTCTGGGTCAAGTTGATTGCCACTTGAACTTGATATAAGTGTTGATGAGCAAAAGCAGATTTTGTACTCTTTTATTGTTACATGTGTTTTTTACAAAACTGAAATATCTATACTTATATGAACCTCATTTTTGGAGACGCTTCTCGAACAATTTAAATTTTTTGTTTTGCACTTTTGAAAATTGGCGGATCTTGATAGTTTGTTTGGATATGCAGATAAATTTTCTGATAAATTCATTTTTTTCAAAAAAAAGTAATGGATATTGTAGTAATTCAGTACATAAAGCATAAAAATGTGTATTGGATTTTTTGATATAACTGAACACATTTTCAATGAACAGAACATTCCCAAACACCTCCTCTTATCTACAATTCTCAAATTTCGTTTTGGTTTAGTTTCCCAAAAATAATCCTATATGTATATAAAAAACTCAAAAAAGTATGTTAGACTATCTAAATAACGTAACTTCTATACATAATATGAAATATTATGATTGAAAATTAGTTTTGATATAATATATCAAATCCAGATACAATTTTTCACTACATAATAATGGCAGATTACCTGATTTATCAGCCTTCTGTGCAATTCTACATCTGACTCATCAATATTATCAGAACTGTGTAACTGTAAGGCACATAAAAGCGCATCTTTGATCGTTTCTATTAAAGACTGTACTTTTTCGGTTTTCAATAGTCTTCTTGTTAGATAACCTTTGACATGAGCCCCTATAACACTTGCAGCCCAGCACTGAAAATTAAAATAAATGCAAAATGTATGTTTCAAAAAAATTACATTACATCGTATGGATTATTTTCTTTGAACACAAGCTTTCACCTCTGGAGTCACAAGCTGGAAGGCAGTAGTACACAAGAACTTGTGGTACCAAAAGTTTTGTGTGCAAACATCATCAGTTGGTGGTTTTGATATATACCTTCCCACAAGTACATGCAGTACTGCTGCCTCAGAAAGGCAAAAGACAAAAGGGACCCACTATCAGCAACAGGGGTCTATTGCATACTGTGCACTTGTGAGAAGGTATATATCAGAACTACCAAAAGATCCATGGGATCTATGAGCTTTGACCTTCGTCCATGCAGTCAGAAGCATATATCACTAATTTTGTCTGCCACAGCAGCAATAACCTTTGGTACTACAAGTTCATTCGACCACGGCCCAGCAGCCCGGAATTTATTCTCAAGGCAGGAATTCGGTTTTTGAGGCTGGAAAGGGAAACAATTGGTAAGGTTCCAAGAGAGTGGTTCAATTTGACGCTCCAGTGTAACCACTGAGTGTTTATTGTAAGTAAACAAAAGGTTACCTGTTTAATGTTGTAGAGTTTATCCTCATCAAGTCGGGGGCAAAGTTCTCTACTGAAATTTACTTTACAGGTTGGTGATATAGAGTAACACCTTTCGATTATGTTTTTCAGATTTTTTCCAGAATCAAACATTTCGTTATTTGGTGAATCCCCTTTGAATTCAAGATCAGTCAATTTCATAGATGAGGGTGAATTTGCTACTAAGGTTCCAGAAGAAGATACACTGTAATCGAGTGACTGGCTGGGCGACACTGAAACTGCACTACTATATGATCTTTCACCACTTTTAGTCCTGTCCTTCGAATCATAAATAATTTCTGTTTGATGATTTTCATTTGATTCATTTCTACTAAATTTATTAACGTCATCCTGTACATTTGTATCTCTCCTTGGAAGTTTATCTAAATACTGATTTTGAACTTTTTTGAATGTTTCAAGTGTTTTAGTTGATGGGTCTGCTCGTTGTTTTTCAATAAGATCAATGATTTGTTTTGAATAGTTCTTGGGGATTTTTTGGAGCACCTGCATTAACTGGCTATCAGGGTTTGACAGATCAAAACTACTTTCAGGTAGTTCATTCTCGCCATTATTTCCATTAACTGTTATTTGTTGTACTGATATGTCTGTTTGTATAACCTCAATTCTAGGGGACGATGCTTCATCAACCCTTTTATCATTTTCATTTTTGTTTGGATCCATATTATAAACTGTATTCAAACTACTAAATTCACTATTTTCAAAGGGCACATAATTATTTTCTGTGGAAGACCAGTGTCTAGAAAATATTTCATCAGTTGGATTGATTTCATTCTCTTCTTGTTTATTGTATTTCTCTAGATGTGCCAGAAGTATTGGGCTAGGAGCCTCTAATGTATAAGAATTACTTCTAATCAGTCTTGTCTTGGGAGTTTTTGTAGGGGATATGTTTTCTTGGACCTCTGTCAATGGGTTATTGGAAGTTTCAGCAGATAAATCCCTCAAGTCTAAGTTTAGGCAGCCTTGAACTTCTCGTCCTCTTATGTTCTCTATATTGCTTGTGGGTTGGGATGCCAGTCTAATTTCAGATGATTCACTATGGTCATTTAGCTTAATCATATGGTTAATAGTGTTTGGAATTTGGCCTTGATTCACTTCTGTACAATTTGTTTCATTTTCTCCACCAATTATTTTAATGCCATCATTGCTATATTCAGTTACATCAATAATATCTTTACTCAAGTGCATTTTCTTTCTTGCACTACAAATATTTCTTGATGTAGTGATCCCCAAAGCCTCAATATGACTGTTATCTCCAAACGTAATTGCAGATTGAGGCCTTTCTGAGAGAGGTTGAATATTTAAGAGTTCGTCCAAGTTTCTCTGCAATTCTCGGCAATTTTGTAAACGTTTTTCCAATTTCATGGCTTGTTTTTTGAAACTTTGCAATTCAAGGCGGCGCTTATCTGTAATCTGAAAAATAAATAATAGAATTTTTTTTCTTTGTAGTTAATATGCAAGAACAAACCATGGGCGGTAAAAGATTGATTCCCTTGACTTTTATGGAAGATTGGAAAATAGTTTCATTTTCAGACATCATAAAATACACTGACAACTCAAACAGTCACTGAAAAATTTAAACAGCAATCAAAACAAATTTTAAGAAAAGATTAAATACTACTAGAACTAGTAACATATAACCGAATTTGAACTTCTTTATGAATGGTATTTTATATACAAACATATCCTTGTTGTCATGTCAATGCAAATTGCAAAAAACACTCATTTGTCATCTGTCATGTCAAGCATTTAAAGCTGTCAGTTCAGGCGCCTTCTTAAATGGAGATCAAAGTTAGTTGGTGCACTCTTTGATAGAGATATCCGACAGATGTAACCTTGAAATGAAAGAGAAGAAAGATCTTTATTATTCCATCCTTGTTAATAAATGAATCAACATAAATATTTATAATAAAAGTATAAAAAGATAAATGTACACAAAAACTAGGAACTATTAAAAATATATTTTTAGTTCTACATGATATTTACTCGGATGATATTCAAAAGAATCATTTATTTCATTTCGGATCATTCGGATCATTTCAAAAGAATGTTGTAGATTGAATATTCACAATATTGTTGAATGTGTTTTATTTCACCACAAGTCAAGTAAAAATATGTGGTAAAACTGTAAGAAAAGTAACGAGCCATATATACATCAGAAATAAACAATAAGGGTGTGGCATCTTAAAAGAGTGTTCTGAGGAACAGACTATTCTAATCCACACCATAAATATATGAGCGATTGAACGTCAAAATTGCAGGTAGATTATGGTGAACTACCAATTATGAACCAGGATTATTGCTGTTTTGAGTTTCACTTTGAAGGTGAAATATGATCACACTTGGCCTTGATCAAGTAAATTAATAAAGCATAATGACATTATCAAAAACATTGTGTATGGTCACCATTTAAAATTGTACGCATTTTCTATTCAGATTCAAGTTTTGATTCGGGTCATTAAACTTTGGCTTTGGATATTTTTGACTGGTTGGTGAACAAAGCTTCAACACTGATGCAGATGTAGCAATACGATTCAACTGAGGTAACTGCAGTTATATTCTTTCTTAGTACCTCGGTATGTTCGTTGTCATAGTTCTCATAACAACTGCAGTAGTGCTCTGTGATTTGTCTAAGGCATTTGAATGCGTCAATCACAGAGTACTGTTACGAAAACTTCAATGCTATGGATTCAGAGAGAAATCAATTGGTTAGACAACTAACTCTAGTATCACCAATGTAAAGTGTGGGGGTACTGCAGGATTCAGTACTTTTCTTGCTTTACTATAATAACCTCACGGCTCTTCCTATATCAGGAGAATTCATTTTGTTTGCAATGATATACCCTAATGTGTTATGACAAAAATATGGATAAACTTTATGCGAAAATTTGTGACATGAGCACAGTCAATAAATTATATGATTCTAATCTTCCATCTTTTCATTTAACAAATGAGACGAATGTTGTCACTTGGTCAAACCTAGAATAAGACTTGCCTGTTATCTGTAGATTCTCTTACTAATGAGTCATTTTGGAGAATTTTTGCACTAGGAAAACCGAGCTGAAATTCGGTAGAATATTGTCAGAAAATCTGCAAATCGAGGAAGGTTTCATGCCCATTTAGCATGATTTTCACTACAGTAGGAACGGAATATTCTTCGCTAGTGTTGGCGATTGTAGAGTACACTAACTGGATTCCAGCCGATTTCCGAGTGGATCTCCACAAATGATAGGTGAACTGAGTGCCATTGTCATGTAGCATACGCTTTATTGGTCCACACTTAGGCAAATAATCCGTCATTATCCTGTGCAACATAGCTCTGGATGTTACTTTCTTCAGTGGATCAACGTCTCATATTCTGTAAATGAATTGTTAACTATAACAAATAAGTTATACCCCCATAGATTTCGAATAAGAGGCTCATAAAAGTTCATTGCAATACCCAAAAATATAGTTAGAATTTGAGTAGGTTTAGGTGGTTTTGGAATTTCAATCATTTGTCAAATGACACAATATTTTTTTTTAAATATTGCGGTCCATATTGGTGCACTATATTTCAATTAGTTCCTTTTTGAGAAACTAATTGACTTAGGTTTTTTCATGAGGGACATATGGGATCCGTAGACAGCTTGACGATGTTCTATAAGTTAGGGAACTATTATCTGGTTCATTATTGACGTCGCCCCAAACTTGATGCTACCCCGAAATTCAAGGAAACCTCCAGATTTGGTGTTGCCCCCAGACCAGATAATGCTCCCGGTGAAGACAACCTTGAACTTTGTGGGTTTTCCTTTTCTATATTAGTAGACATATTATCTTTCATAACTGTTATATTCAATTAACTGGTCCTTGGAATAACACCAGCAGAACTTTACGGCTGATTTTGATGAATAAATGAAACACATATCTTCAGTTTCCTTATTTGGCGTTTTCGAATGCTCCTAGAGGGGACCTCCATTCAGAAGACAATAATGTATTGCTTTTCTAGGTTGTAAATTTATTTTTGATGGTTTATTTTCACTGTCCATAACTCAATCTAAGTATACGAACAACAGCCCCATATTGGGCGCCAGATGCAATGTGATCAATAATCTCAAGGTAAAAGAAAGACAGACGTGGTTTCGGATTTGTCCACACTGGGATGATTTATTTATGTATGCTAGTCCACTTACAAGATTTTTGGCTGAAGTTGTGATCTACAATTATAATTAATGACAAAAATATAAATTTAACTTTCCCAGGTATTATATTCTGAGCAATTACATGAAACCTTCCTATTATAAGTGACAAGGCGGCTACCGAAAATTATTGATGATGATTATTAGATACCAAGAGGATTCACTTAACAAATTATGAAATAACTAAGGTTGATTGACTAGAATCCTCTCGAATAAAACTCCAGCACATTGTAACAAAAATACCATCTGAATTCTGTGAAATACTCTGAATCCAAAAACACTGCTTCTTTCATTCAACATCATAATCTAATTGTAACGAGAGAAAGATCAAAATACAGATATGAATTAGAGATTATCGTCGTTGTCAATGTAATGTAACCCATTTATATAGACAGACATATTAGTAAATAACATTATTTTACAGTACTAAAAGATGTAACCACCTTGTTCACTAAATAAAATTACTGAAGATACCTCTGGCCACAGGCGAAACATCTGAATGAAGCTTTTTATTTCAATTTCAACATGAGCCCAACGAGTCGAAAAAATTAATCAAGAAAAAAAAATACCAACAACGATTGAAGAGCTCCTGTTAAATTACATAATTCAAAACTTTTTGATATCGATTACACTATAATTAAGGAAGAGAAGCTAATTGTATTCTGACTGAAAATACATAGAAATATTGTTTCTTAAAATGACTAATAGAAAACGTTTATTGGGTTACCACATTTACTTTGAAATTTTGCCGTGAATTCATTTCAACCAAAAATGTAAAACATCAATTCAAGGTGAACTAAGGCTCTGCTCATCATGAGGATATCTGATGGTATCCTCTTTCAGTAAACCTCATCCTGTTGTCCAAACGAAAGGTTCCAACCTATCATTAATATCCAAGTAGTTGTTTAATGTCTCCATAGATTCAAGTGTTTGATTCAGTAACATATGACAACGATTTAGTTGATGAGTTAGCTCTGCAACTTTTGTCAACTTTTCTGCATATTTCGAAAATCTACGTTGTTTTTCTGTAGTTGCTACTACCATTTTTGCAACCTCAATATCAACCTGAAATCAAAATTGGGTTGAACACAAATACATGATTGATGATTTGAAAAATTTAATTTACTGAGAAAATGTAAATAATATATTGAATCAACTAAATCTAAAGTGAAATTAAACAGCATATTTGGATAACCCTCTGAAATAGTCACCAGAACTAACACACAAACTTTTTTGTACTTCCAACTATGTAAATAGATAAAAATAGATAAAAACATTAAAGTGGATATTTCTACTGTAATCTTTAAATTACGAAATTTTGACAAGAAATAAAAAAATGTGACCTTTCTCGTTTTTATACTACGACCTACTTTTCTTATTTGAAAACTTAAACTTCTGGTTGCTTCGGAGAAAATTATCAGGATTGAAAAATAACATTTTTTGAAAAGTCAGTTAACTGACTATCTTGAAAAAATTAACCATGTGCTAGAAGTCGTACGTTAAAAGATAGGACCTCGTTAATCCTTAGCTCGCACAAATGTAGACTTATGAGGGTTGTCATTCGTAAGGGGGCGTCAGTTGTTCAACAGAAAAACATATTCAACAGATTTTATCAGATTAGTGCTGAGGAGGCAATAAGGCAAGTATCGTTTTCTGAAATATAGGATATCCGTCATTGAGGATGACAGTGTTCCATGTAAGTGATATTTTACCTCTTTCATATACTATACTGTGTAGCAAGATTTTGTCTCTATACTTATTTTCTTAACGCCTTCAATTTAGTCTTGTTGATATTATTGCTTCTTGTTCTTTCATGATACTTATTTGCTTTATCAATTTTTCTAGGTTCAATAAGGGTGTATCTTAAACAATGAAGTATATTTAAAAATCTGTTTAAAATCTGTTTTTTCCGTTAACCAGCTGTCGCACCCCTACGAACAACAACCCTCAGAAGTCGAAACTTGGGCGAGCTAAGGATCAATGAGGTCTTACCTTTTAACGTGTGATTCCTAACACGGGTTGGACGGTAGCAAGTGAAGATCGATCGTTCAGACTAGGGCTTGAACCACCGACCAACATGGCAGTCAATTCGAGTGAGTGAACAAAGCACCCACGCCGAACCGCTTGGCTACCGAACGGTAGCCAAACGGTAGTATTAATTGTTGTATAGGATTCAAATGAAGTATACTTACTTCTCTCACCCTGTGCAAAATCTGATTCTGTTCAGTAGCTACCACATTTGCAGCAGTTGTCAGATGGTGTTGATAACGCATGCATAAATTTCGAAAAGGAGTTGGATCTAGCCTCTCTAGAACTTCTGGATCCCTAGCAGCTGGCAAGCTTAAGGTAGCTCGCATTATAGGTAGAAACATGGGAATACTTTGAAGTCGGACAATTTCTGGGTCTTTTTCGGTGCTTGGATTGTTAAGCGTTGCTCCTCGAACAACAACTATATTGTGTGTATTATTTTTCAGTTTTGTTTGTTTAGGTTGTTGTGGTTTGCGGTCCCTGGACTTGGATTTTACAAGTTGTTTGTTAGTCAATTTAGGCGAGTCTGGAATCATAGTTGTTCATATAATTATAATTGACAAATTTTATTAATTTAGTGTTACCCCCAATTGGTCGATTCACAGTATAACTTATATATGGTAGATCTACATCACTGCAGACACTGGGGCCAGGAGATATTGAACCTGGTCTGCCACTTTCACCAAATTCAGTTGACTCACTAGCTCCTCCAGGATTTGCAATAGTATGTTGACGTCGAAAACCGATAGCTTTGTGACCTTCCTTGTTCAAGCTACCCTGTCTTTGTGTTCCTTGGCTACCAGACTGACTAGAATGTTCAGAACCCATTATCTTAGTTGAAGTAGTGTTAACCTGTTATAGGGACGATGTCAACCGTTTTCCTGGAATTCCTCAAAATTTTCTAAAAATAATTTTTTTATCAAAAGCCATTCTACAAATATCATAAAAAATTCGTACAATCTAATATTTCTTAGATTCCAGCATTTTATAAACAAAAAACAGCTGTAACTATACTCCAAGCAGTGTTGCATGGATGCTAAAAAAATTGGTAACGTTTTCTCAGAATCAATAGGAGCCGCCGCAGGCGAAATTTTTCCAGAAATCTATAACTATCTGTAGAAAATATATTACTTTTCGAGGCCAATTTTTGTTAATCGACCATATCTAGATTTCTTTTATAGTACATTTTTTTCTGAGTTAGTTTCAGTTGTCACCTCAATTATTTCATGCAATTGCTTTCGGATTATCTCAGTGAAGAAGCGGCAAATTGAATTCAAAGTTAGAAAATACTGTCACCAGTGACACATCTTACAACTGATCCTAATAACAATCATAGGATAACTAAATAAAAAAAAATTCAAATGAAATTGAAAAAAGAATTTTGGAAGTTAATAAAATATTGTCAGGTTGTCAGACCTTCCCCATCCAGCTCACCAACAAATTCCCTATGTAACCACGTTTTTAGATTTCAACAATTAGTTTTTATACTTGATAATGGTATAAAACCCAAAACCGGTCGTAAAAAATAAAATAACTAGTGGAAATAAGACAAAAGTGTTTTCATTCATTTAAATAAAATATTTCAATAAGACACTTACTAAATGATTGCACTTTTCGCAGTACTTACTTTATAAAAAAATATGAATATTATTTCCTTAGCTAGTTTGGAGCTTTTGCAATCTGTTATATTCATTACAATTTATTTTTTGTTCTGTGCAATGACTTGAATCAAGAACAAATTTTATTTCCATTGCATTGTGACACAAAACACCAAAAGATCATGTGTTCTGTGGCCATGAACCATAAATCTGCTAAAAAAATTGAAGTAGAATTTTGAATTGTGGACACTCGTGTCCATCTTAGCCATGACCTTAGCGAACTTTGTTGTCATATAAGAGTTTCTTTCAACGAATGTTTAACAATTGTGGGGCACAAATAAGCCTTTTCAGTTACAAAGTATAACTTATAATTTCACATTTGCAGGAGCATTTTCTACCTACTTATATCAAATAGCGATCCGTAAGTAATTATTTTTCAGTTATATTAGCTTCTGAAGTATTTGTTAGGTTATGTATTGAATGTTTCTATCACTATTAAGTTTTCATTTTACGTTTAAGAATTTATAAAAAAGATCTTTAAGTAACTTTTGTTCCTGGTTGTGAACACTACAGTGAACAAAGGATTTGTAAATGTTTTGGTTTTCCGCAGACCCAGCTGAGAGAAAAATGGATTAATCTCATTAGGTACCTGATCACCACACTTAATACATAGATGAAGCATTTTATTGTTAAATTAATTTGCAGAAGACAAGATCGAGAGCCATCAAAGCATTCATTAGTTTGCAGTTGTCACTTTGTTACCATGGATAAAAAATAGACCAACTTTATTTGAATTCAATGTGAAGAGAAAGTTCAACTTTGAATCCCCTGAAAAACGGTATGTTCACATTAAGAAAAGATATTACTATTCTTGGATTCAATAACTTTGTTTTCAGTAAACGAACCGTCAAGGCAAAAGAGGTTGAGGTGGAAGCACCCAATATAAGTTCAGAAGCAGCAGGGCCTTCAAAAATATCTGAAACGGAGACTCCGAGCACATCCAGAAGTGAAGTTAGACCTTCTAGCATATAAGATATACCTTCTTGTTCTAGAAGTGTAAACAGAGTGTCAAGTGCATCTGTGGAGGCAGAAAATTACTTTCTAAAACAAGATACTCTTGAACTACCTGAAAAACTCAAGAATTCAACAACACGTTTCAGCTATGAACACATCAAAAACATGGTATATAAAACATGTGTGGAGCTCTCCGAAAATGTATTAGTCATAATGTTTCATGCAACGAAAACTCTGTTCCTTTGTACCTAATTATTGCAATAAATAACAAATATTTATACCTGAAGGTCTGATGATAAAATTAAACTAATCAACAATAGACATGATTTATTGAGTTAAATTACTTTATTAAAAGCAACACAAATATGGTGTTGATATTTTATTTACAATCAATAATGTTTGTATATGATGCTTAAAAATTATAATAAATTATGACTTGTAATACATTCAACGACATTAGCAAAATGTATGAAACAACATTCTTTCAAATTATGCTTATTGTCGTTAACAGCAAATAAATACGATTCCACGTAAAAACCAAATTAAAAAGTACAACAACTATGAAGGCACATAACAAATTTAACTTTTCTATAAATATATCCTATTAAACTTATTACCTAATACGGAATGATTTCAAACAATTGCTATTTACACATGATACAAAAATCTATTTTCCTTTCTGAAAATATATCGAACGGGAACTATTATTTAAAAAATATATATTTTCAGTTCTAACTTCTGTCAGAATTATGAACTATCAACATTCATGTAAAGTCCCCAAAATATAAAAGGTGCTGAAACTATATATTCTAATAAGAATATCAAGAATTGTCATCCAGCCAAAAACGAACTTTGCTGATTACCTAAAACAGATCAATTTTGTACTAGTTGGATAAAACACAAGCTAGGGTGAGGATCAAGTTGTTGAATTTATTTACAGTTGTGAAATTATATGTAAACTGTCACTATGCTCTACACTATGTATTGGTGATGTGAAATACAGGTCCTATTCTTAGGAAGACTCTTCTTAATATCGACCTAAGCTCTGCCTTCAGGTCAAAGCACACAATTTCACAAAGCTGGGGGTAGTATCTTGAGACATGAGCTGCAAACTAGAAAGAGAATTAGTATTATTTTCAAGCTCCAAACGTAGGTATTCAAGGCTGTTCAAATAATAAAGTGAATATTCAAATTTCGCGGGGTACATTCAATAAGCATATTTTTATTTTTTTTATGTTGGTACACTCGTCTCGAACATGCGTTCACAATGTCAGCTGTTTATCATAGTTAGTTTGTTGGCGAGAGGCATTTTGACCAAAAAAACCGTCAACTTGTTGAATGACGTCAACGGCGATCCAGATTTGCTTGAAAGGGTCATAAGTGGTGACGAATCATGGATATATAGTTATAACATCGAAACCAAAGTCCAATCGTTCCAATGGAAGATCCCAGAAGCCCCAACACCAAAAAAAGAACGGCAAGCTTGGTTAAATGTCTAGGTTTTGCTCACTGTTTTCTTTGATTATCGTGGCGTAGTGCATCAGGAGTTCTTGCCACATGGTCGTATGGTCAACGAGGAGTATTACCTTGAAGTTATGCGCCGCTCGTGGGAAGCAATACGAAGAAAACGTCTGGTATTGGGAAAGAACAATTCATGTCTTTTGCATAACGATAATGCACCTGCTCACTCGTTAATTCTTGCTCGAGATTTTCTGGCTAAAAACAACACTGTAATTATGCCACCATATTCACCAGATTTCGCTCCTTGCAATTTTTTCCTACTCCCAAGATTGAAGAGACCCATGAAATGACGGCGTCTTGCTCAGAGGAGAATTTACCAGCAGGCTGAGTAGGCTTGAGCCTAGGGCGGCGGATTTTAGGGGGCGGTAAATTAGTCCCAAAACATTTTTTTTGTCTTACAGAAATGAAAAATAAATAAATACCTAAATGTTATTAGATTTCACCACTTAACTGAACCTGTCAAAGTGGATAATTTGACGTTTGTCAATCTGCTAATACTTTTTTAATACTACGTATTTGTGTTGGTAGTCTTATTTGGAGTGCGGTACGGGAACGATTGACGATCATTCAGATTCCCTAAAAGTGTCTGGCCGAAAAGAAAGCACGAGGGACGGGTCGCCGAGGAAGCCGAACGTCACGTTACGTGTGGCAGCGTTGAGTTCGGGAGCAAGAGATATAGAGCGGCGTCAGTGGCGATACAAACTGGGAAGTCCCGTCCTGTATTTAATTTTTGTCAAAACAAAAATAATCTCGGATAATTGCGTCTTGCAATTTCTAATTAAAAGTGTTTAGTTGGTTGTATAGATAATTTTTATAACATAACAATACCAGACACCAATAAAGTGAAGACAACACAATACAAACTTATTGCAGGTAAGTAATCCTAATGTATAAATCATCCATAACGAATCAGTAATTAATTTAACTTAATTACTGTTTGCAAATTTAGATTTTTTTGTTAAGTATATATTATTACATTGTAGTATATTTCAATAAAGTTCTGTTGCTTATATTAGGTAACTATTCAAAGTCTGAATTGGAACAGAAGATACTGATAATCACTACGTGAAATAAGACTTCTAATGTAATTTTTTTCAGTTCTTGAATAAGAAATTGTGAGAATGAGTGATGGAAGAAAGTGACTCAGTGGAGCTGTGTATAGAAAAAATGCCAAAATGAAAAAATAAGAACAAGAACAAGTCAGTGAAACGATGAAAATTGACAGTTTTCCTAAAAGAGTAAGGGTAAACAGTATTTTAAGACCAGGAACTTCAACCACATGCAGTGATACACTACAATCTGAAAAAGATGAAACGGATTTCAACTCTGAGTTAGAACTGAAACTGAGTTGTGTTAGAACACTTGAGAATGTAGTGTTAGAACAATACCGAGTAGTGTTAGAACACTTGAGAATGGTGTAAAATTCAGAAGGTTCGGCAAAATTTGAATAGCCTACTGGCGGCAAATGTGTTAATCCGCCACTGGTCTTGCTACGATTAAGGAGATAAAAACCTAATCACTGAGAGAGCTCAATTACATACCAAAAAGTGCATACGAAAACTGGGAAAAATGGGAAAAATGAAAATTTACAATATTTTTTGAACAGGCTTCAAATGTTATTCATATTCATCATAAAATCAGGTTAATCATTCATGAATGTAATAAATTTTCAATCACAGCTACAATTTAACTCACCCTATTGTCAGGCATTTTCAGCAATCTCGTCATCACCAGTAATAACAAAGAAGTCCACGCTTCTCTGTGCCCCTCGCTTTGTAATTGTAAAAAGTATTCAAGAGCTTCTTGGCAAACCGTGATCAATTTGGATTCTATCAATGGCCAATGTTGGCGCCTACTTTCATCACAATACATTTTGAATAATATCCTCAATAGACAAGCGAGACTCTGCGTTTCTTGTTTCAATAAATTTGGCTTTGCTGAACCCTTGTACCCCGCTTTCCAGAGAAGATTTCTTTGTTCGTGGTTCAAGTTGAAGGCTTTTGCAAACCTAAGAGATAAAAATTTACAGGCGTTTCTTAATAAGCATACTAATATTTGGGGAAGTTATTTTTTGATAAATTTTGAGCAAAAAAATTGCATGAACGTATATCCTGAAAGGCCTATCTTTCACGCTACAGGATGCAAGATGAATAGGCACTCGCTTTCATTATCTATAAGCATCACATCAAGTTTTTGGGTATTGACATGAATAGAAACGTTAACACACTGAGATGGACTTATTCCAAATTTACATTCTCCATCATTTGAGTCACTATATCTTGGCTATATTTTTAGTTTAAATCAATTAAACATTCACATTTTATATCAACAATGAATACGAATGATTCAAATCGAGACGAAAGATATCAAATTTTGTTTGGGCTGAAATATTTTCAATCTATTGAGCCCCTCAATTGCCATTAACTTAGGACAGTTCATCGAACTACCCTTTTTTGAAATAAAAAGGTACTCTGACATTTAGACTGGACAATTAGTAAATGTATCAAGAAAAATTTAAAAACATTTCTAACACACAATATGCATAATGATATCTGTTATTTTGAAAAAAAAAAAAATCAATAACACGAGCATTGAAGAAGCAAATTCTATTAAACGTCTTCACAAAATTATGGACTCTAAGATGAATGGGAGGAATATATCAATATGGACTTATCCTTTCCTTATGACCTGATGTATTGGGGCAATTCAGCTCATATCCATAAAATATTCATTATGCTATAGAATATTTTAGGTTTATGGTCTTAGGTTAATAATTCTTATACTCCTTCAGTTTGTAAACTTCAAAACACTGTACATATACAGAATCAATGCTCCATTCATAAATATACATGGTATAGCGTGATGGCCTTTGGTTACTCTTATTTTGGGAAATAATAGCATTCATATTCCGAAAATGATTAAATTTAAGTTTTTTTATAATCCTTATCAATGCCTTATATGCCTTATACATTTATATTGACTTCTGTGATGATGAATTTTTAATGCAATTTATCTAACCATGAATTGACAGGTCTGGCTGTCCCTATCAGGGATAAGTAACTTTCGTTTTCAAAAGATAAATTCATTAGCTCAAAACAAATTCAACTTTAACCTTCTATCATCTACTAAATATTCAACTCACCTATGCGATTGCAGAAGGCACTCAGTTAACTGCAAGAGATGTGGCGAACTCAGTAACCTATACATCCCCTGTTCTTCGCGCTGGCACTCTGTCAAAGAACCGCTTCCCGCCATATCAGCAGCGGCTAAAGCCAAAGTCTCAGCATCCTCTTTTCTAGAGGTTGCAGGATAGAAAACGATATTATCTATCGTCTGTATAAGCTCCAACTGTACAGCACTTTTTATCGCGAGGCTATTGAAAATTTCACCGTTACTCAAACTGTGGTCTTGATAACTTGATCGCTTTAATATACCTTTATTGGTACCTAAATCACCGTTCTGCTCTATGACTGCTGTAGTTTTCATTGAATCTGGCTTCCAAGAAATCAGAGACAACGGTATGGTCGAGTTGAATATGTCCAGCATACATTGGCAAGTCTTCTGCCAGGTTTCTTCATTGAACTTCTGACCGTTGGAGTTCACCAGGTTTTCCAGACAGTTCGTTCCAGATCTTGCCAGTTGTTCATTGTCTTGTTGCACGCACCAGTGCAACTGTAAGTATAATTCCTCCAATAATAGTGGCCCCAAGACATCAAAGTACTGAGTGAATACATCAACAATAGCATAAAGAGCGTGGTTGCAAGTCGTTGTCATCCATTCTGCCTTTTCCGGCTGCTTCTCAGGCAGTTTCATGTTATCAAATATCCTGAAAAGTACTTTGAACAAGTCCTTCCACCAGTGCGGACTGAAAGTATCGCCGTAGGTTTTAATTATTTCAAAGAGAACAGTCAGGGCTCTCGTCCTAACATCTAACTTGCACCTGTTGACTACACAGGACAGAGAAAATAAAAGAGGGAACCAACCTCGTACCCAAACCCTATCATCTTCAGATACTGTAATATCATTTTCCATACCGCCGTGTTCAGCGAAAAGATGAGAAGCCCCATTGACACTACAAGCACAAGCTCTCACCAGTCGTATAGCTTCCATGCTCGTGTCCGGAAATCGGGCATTACAAGCAAATTCTGATAAACATTTGACGGCATCTTGGAAAGAGTCTATCATTGTCGAGAACTGTTTTTCATATAGTTCCATTATAATTTTGCCAGTAGTTTGGAAGGCAAGTTCCACAATCGCTTCCTCTTGATCTCCGGCAGCCAAGTGGAATACGGAAAAGATGTTTTTCCAACCAGACCTAATGTTTTTGGCCTGCGAGTTTACCATCTGGGCGACACAGCGTACAACCATATCCCTTATCGTGGGAGATACGTTGTTTTTCATGATATATTCGAAAGGACGGAGAAAGTCTTTTTGAAATCGGAAATTGGAGAATTCACCCTTTTCTATGAATTTCATAGAAAGTTGACGCAAGCTGTCGACGGCAAAGAAACATATTTCTTCATTTGGATTACATCCCACCGTATTAAAATGTTCACCAAGTACTTGCCAAATTCTCGACCACTGGAGACGAATTCTACCCATGTTATAATAAGAAATTTCCACAATTTTCTGCAAGGAAAACATCCTGGGATGACCTGGGTGCGCGAGTTCTTCCAACGAAATCTTACATAGAGCCTTTACGAAATCGACTATGGCATCACCGTCAAGTCTGGTCGAACCAGTGAAGATCCTGTCAACAGCAACCACCACACTTTGTGAGCTAGTTTGACCAATGCGTTCTTTCGAACTAGGATCAGGAGGCTTATGACCGGGTCCAGATAAAAATTCTGGCCTCACCCCAGTTCCAATTAACTGCGCCAGTTCCAACTGTGATATGCATTTTAAAATGTCCAGCCAACTTGAACCGAGGTAATTCCCATCGGTGTGTGCAACCATGATAAGTGTTTTGATAGTGTCTATGTTTTTGGCCTTCATGTCCATTATAGGAGAATTCGCAGTGAGTAGAGTGAATCTAGCCAAGGCCTGAACATAAGCATCTCTTTCCATAGGCATATGGAAAATGCAGACAATTCTAATCGCACATCGGATTCCATCTAAGCACAAAGTCGCCACGTCTGGGTCATCACAGTCTTGCAAACCAACACTAAAGGCTGCCAAAAAAGAAGTCCAAGCCATCTTGAACATCGGCCTCACGTGCTCCAAGTGTTTTGCTAGTGTGAAAGGTGCTTGGACATGAGACACAGATTCCATTAAGTTTTTGGCAGCTGTTGAAATCGCCTCCATCTCCATATTGAAGAGAATCTTTCTTCGTTTTTCACTGTTGAATTGTTGTTTTCCTGGCTTGTTAACTGTATTTTTCATTTTGATTTCATGTCCGGCTATTTCATCATAAATTTGAGAGAGATATTCTTCGGGGACATCTTTGCTATCAGTATTGCCTCTATTAAGTTTGATGTATTGCTCTTTAGACATTTTGTTTTTCACTTGAGGTGAATGTAAATCGGTGGTGAGCATGATGATTGAAAAACCTAGCACGTAAGCCGTGTCAGCACTTGCAAAGAGACCATTGTTAGGATTACATTCGCAATATCTACTCGCGAATTTTTCCATCAATCTGAAACAAATAGGAAATAAATAAACAATATCTCAAACATTTGACAAAACAGCTAACGAAATATTTGAATATTTTGTATAAAAATTTCGGGTATTTGATCAATATTACCTGTCAATTTTTTGTGCTTCTCCAGGAAGTCTAAATCCATCTAAGAAGTGCCTCAGAGCTGCTACAAAATCCATGCTGATAAAGTTCATCTGATCCACGTAAGTATACATGACTTGCTTGTTAAAATCATCATTATCACCTAAGAATTCACCAATAAATGTTTTGTCCAATCGATCATCGGTGTGTAGGAATTTAGCAACATCTTCATGGTTTCCATGATGTATTATTACTATTATGAAGAAAAGATAATTGACACTTTCTATGTTTTTTATCACTTTTATTCGTAACTAACGTTACTGCACATGTAAATGTGCCCTTATATAGCATCCCTGTAGGTAATAATAGAGGTACTTGGTTTGATTGACTACCTGAATGTGCTAATGTTCTAATTTGAAAACCGGTGAGTAAACTAAATCGATTTGATCATTTGACAGGTTGCACCCGCAATGTTTATGCTTATGAATTTCCCAGGATTCTAAATAATTGAGTTTGTAACCCTTCCTTGCCTAGTGCAAAATTTCCGTATCATTTAGATTCGAGAACTTGTGGTTGCATGCCAAAGAGGTTTGAAAACGTTAAATCTTTTTTTCCTAGTCTGAAGGACCTTTCATGTTCAGTAAACCGTTTCTGTAAATTTCAACCACATTGTCCCACAGAAATACCATTACACTCTGGACACTTGAGCTTATAAACTCCAGATTTCTCCAACTTGTCCACCTTATCTTTGGCATTGAAAAGGGAATCAGATAACCTGGCATGTGGTCTGAATGCCACTTCCACATTGTTTTTTCTGAAGAAACCCGCAATTATATCTGCTCTTTTTTCAAAATATATTAGAGTTACACATTTCTTGATTTCTGGTTGTTTGACCTGAGGGTATATTAATATGTAAGTGAATTTACGGCTTTGTTTTCTGAGTAACTACTGGATAGTATCTGCGTTGAAACCATAATTATGACCTATCTGTGTTATTTTATCAATTTCCCTAGCTAGATTGTTAGCAGACAAAGGCAGTGAGAATGCTCTGTGCAACATTGACTTGTAGGCTGCTAGTTTATGACTGTCTGGATGAAAAGAATCGCTTGGGATGGTAATGTCTGTATAGCTAGGTTTTCTGAAAACATTGAATTCAAATTTATTCTGATTGTGTGTAATGGTGGTAAAAAACATAGGAAGTTTAAATTCTCCTTTCTTCATTATGATTTCCTACCACTTAGAAACGGTTACATCCATCAATTTATTACTATTATGATATTTATATATTCTCTATATTCAACATTTTCATCCCAAAATTGTATACAGTGTTCTGTAATTTGGTCTAGTGCCTGTTTGGACAACAAAATATTTTGATAGGGCTTTTGCCCTGAGAAAAAGGAATTATTTCACTATTTTTATGACACGGAATGGCATAAAAATGCCACGGAATGCTAAACATAGGTGGTATAATAATGATCAAAGTAACATCATGTTTGCAGAACATTTTAAAATATAATAATCAATTACTATTAACTACCATTTTCCCCAGTTTTACAAAAACGCAACATGTCTCGCCATACACTGGCTTCTTCTGGAGTGTCTTTACTCACTTACTTTACAATCTTTACTTATAGGAATGTAGACTTTCACGGCTGGCGTCAAAGTTTTGGTTGGTATCGTCCAATATCCAATATCGTCCAAGATATTTCTGTTTTTCTTGATGAATGTTTCGAATTCAAGTATACTATAGAAACAGTTATTGGATAGTATCTGTTTTAATTGATTTTTGAATTGCGTTTGGGAGATTCATCAAAACATTTTCTGAATGTAATTAGAATTTCCTGAACCTGAAATTTGACAAAATTTCAAAAAGTTTTGTGAAACACCATTTTCTATGAGAAAAGTGTGGGGTCATTGATCGAAACATTATGACCCATCCTGAAGTTATATATCTAAATGAATAGGTCTCAGAAGTAAAAGAGGCAAATTTCCTAATAGGTTGTGTTAGTTATTTAATTTTTTTTAGTTAGCTCACCTCTTTTTGTTGTTTCTGCACCTCGAGCTGTTCTGGTGAATCCAAAACCTCTTTATTTCCACCACTCTCACTAGACTGCAAACTGTTGCAAGACCCCCCGTGGGACTTTAAAGAAGTATTATCAGCCTCTTTAGGCTCCTGTTCACCGACAGTGGATTGCAAATTGGGATTTACATAAAGATCCTTACTCCATTCAACCATACACTTCAAAATAGATACCAGACATTCCAAACCACGTAGTTTCATAGCCCTTTCTTGATTAGGGGATGCCCCTAATTCCACGGAATGTCTTCCCTGCGCAACTTTAAATAAATCATTGACTAGACGTTCGAACAAGTTAGCAGCAGATAAATCACAGTCATAATTTACATATATATCGACTACGCTCTGGGCATCACCGCAGATCCGTGTCAACGCTTGTATTACCATCCATTTATGCTCGAATGAGGAATTTGTCGTTTCTAAAATATTGAGGAATATTTCTTTGAAGAACACCTCTATTTGCATTTTGAGATGGAGTTTGAAGTTGGACAATAAAGCCAAAAATATCGCCAAGGACAGTTCAAAAACTTTGGGAATAGAGCTAACCCCGTTTTTAGATAAGGCTACACACAAGTATTGCTTGATAGCAGTAATGAACATTTCGTTTGATCTGAAGACGGGTCCAGCATTCTGCAAAATGGATAGAAGCAGTTGTAATGATAAAATTTTTGACCTGAGCTCGTGAGATTTGGGGTCAGGGGTACCATCAGGTAATGGTTTCATGGAGAGTTTACACAGAGCTCGGAATACAAGGAAAGCATCTTTTTGAAGTATGTGGGTGAATTTTGCTGTAACAGCAGAGTCGTTTTCACTTTGTATGTCCATACTTTCTTGGGATGGTATCCTGAAAAAAGGAAATATAACTAAAGCTCACAATACCAATGAAAATATTACCTTGTAATGGAGGATGTCATGCTCTGAGTTTCATTTTCGGGAGAATTGATACTTACAACCTCAACTTGTCTATTATCAATAACTTCCGCCATCACATTGTCTAAAATATTATCTATAACCTCAGACACCACTTGTTCTCCAGTTATCTCCTCGGAATCAACCTTCAACTCATTTTCTGAGTTGTCCTCCTTCAGAGATATTTCTGACTTTGATTCACTCTCATTTGACAGTTTAGAATCATTGTTGGACTGACTAGATTGCAGCTCAGCTTGCACTTCTGCTTCCAATGCTTGATTTTCCATTCTAGTGAAAATTACATTCAGCATTTGTGTCAAGGTGGCTCTGGCTGTGGTTTGATTGATGAGGTTTTTACTAGCGAGGAATATATTGTAGCAGGTTCGAACTGCCATGAGAACGGTACCTTCGTGAACTTCAACATACTGACTAGTTACAACAGTTAGAAGAGCTTTGATTATTTGCAATTGGACACCTAGAAATATATTGATCAAGATTAATTTCGTCTATAATAGAATATTTTATTGGTGTTAAAAATAAACATTAAGTTTTTACACAGGTCAATAGAGCACAGTTAAAGAAATATAAGTTATAAATTATATAAAATATATCGAAGTAGGTAAGTAGGTTTCACAATATCAACAATTTAAAGTTTTCAATTCGTTTTCTCAGAGACAATTACAATAAATACAACATTCTACAGATTACATTTGATCTGTATTATATGCCATAATAACATTTCTTAATGAACTATATAATAATCTAGATGAAGGAAAGAGAACCCTGGGTGTTTTCTTGGATCTTAGTAAGGCATTTGATTTGGTTAACCATAAAATCCTACTAGATAAATTAGAAAAGTATGGATTTAGGGGCATTCCATATAAATGGTTTGAAAGTTACCTGGGCAATAGAACACAATATGTTGAGATAGACAAGTTTAAGTCTATTCACCGTAATTATACCATGGGAGTGCCACAAGGTTCTANCAAAGAATTATCACTTACTATTATAGTTTACATAGATCATTGACTGCTAATGTGGTTGATTTGTTAATTCTAAAGCCGAATTGTTCGTTTATAAACAGGCTGTTTCCCTCAAAGAAATCCTGTAGCTGATTTTTCAGTATATCAAATATCTTGGATAGAACTGGAATGAGCGCTATAGGTTGTGATAATGCAAAATAAGAATGAAATTTCATTGAATTTTATGAAAAATAAGTCTTCAATATAAGGATTAGAGACACAAAGTAAAGGTTCACAATAACATATCAATAAGGAATGAAAACGCCGAATGGATTGAAGATCCAACTTTAGTTGTGAATATCCTTATATTGCATAAAATCGAAGTTTTTCATTACCAATTCTCATGTTTCAACGAATGGGACACTTCTAACGAAAGTATTAAAGTAATAAGAATTTCTATTGAAAATACAAACCAACTTTTCTCTTCCTGTAGCCTACATTTGCTGTTAATTTATTTATTAGTTTTTGTCGAAAGTGTTGACTGCACCTGAGGTGTTTGTTAAGAGAACTTAATTCATCAAAACCTGGAACAGTAATTTCTAAGGGTCTGAAGAAACAGCTGATGTGTGGTGGGGAATCAAATCGCGATTATATCAAGAAATGTATGATAAGTTCCTTGAGTTACTGTTAGGAGTCAAACGTTAAAAGGTAAGACCTCTTTAGTCCTTATCTCGCACAAGTTTCAATTTTTGAGAGTTGCCGTTCGTAGGGGAGCGATTTCGACAGATTCGTCTTCAACAGTTAAAGATAAAATTTACAAAACCGAGGAAAGTTGCTATAAGGTAGGGACAACCATCAACTTTCTCACAATTCTGTTGTCAGAGGATTTAATTTACAATTATTTGCCTAATACTGAATATACACATGATATTTCAATGAGGATTCAAGAACCTACATTTTTTTCTCTGTTTTAGTGTTCTAGCGATACATCTTCACAAACTACCAAAAAAAAATCTGTGGATAATGAACCCAGTAACTAAAAAAGACCTCTTTGCAGTCAGCATGTCAACAAACAAATCCATATTGAATATAAAGAAGATTGGCAGAGTCGATTCCTTATATTTAAAAAACCCATGCATCTTAATCAATTTGTAGTCATAACTGTGGGAGAATATAAGCAAAATCTAGTTTTGCACCCATTAATGGTTTATTATCTTTGTCTTATCATACTGAACCAAACGTGACATACTTGATTGTGCTAATATGAGTCAGTGTGAGAACAACTGAATATTTTGATAACAGGAAATAATTTTTGCTTTCTGAAATTTACGTGTTATTTTTAAAATATTAGGAACAATAAATGGACGTAAATAAGTTATTCTGCTATTTTATTTTATTTATCAATATCGAATGAGTTTGATGGTATACATTCCTGCAGCTGCGAATTCATCTAGGGATAATTTGCAGTTCTATATTCAAGTGGAAGACAACAATCAAATACAAATCTTTTAACCCATGTAACAGTTTATGTAATAAACTGAGTAAAAACTGCTTTGTACTAAGGCAATTGAAGAATACAGTGTCAATGGACGTGCTGTTATTGGTTTACTATGGTTTGATACAATGAAATATATCCTATGGGTTGATATTTTGGGGAGGCTCAACTCAAATAGAAAAAGTATTTCTACAGCAAAAGAAAATTATTAGATGCATAAAAGGGGTACATCAAAGAATATCATGCAAAGAAATATTTACTGAATTATCTATTCTAACTGTGCCATCATTGTACATATTTCAAACTATTTTAAACGTAAAAAAACAATTGGAAGTACTACCTACAAATAGTGCTCACCATAACTATAATACACGAAGTGCAGGGAATTTGCAGCAGCCGTTTTCGAGACTTGCCATTGGTCAATGCTCTCACATATACAAAGGCATCGTATTTTATAATTATTTCAAGAACAAATATGGCAGTGAAAAAAATTTCAATGATTTTAAAACTTTTAAATCTCTTTTAAGTAAGTTCTTGCTGAGAAAAG